CCTCCAGAACTCCACTTAGGCACGCCCACAGGCCATGGTGGGTCTAGGAGGGTCTTCACACTTCAGTAGACTCCCCACAAGGTCCTTAATCAGCTCTGATACCACTTGTTAGAGATTAAGGACGGAGTCTATGAAGATTAGGGGCTGAAATATCTCAAAATCGTCAACTACAATTCTGGACAGAAAAGTCGTCGTCACAAGAAACGTCGTCGACGAAAGGTCCACTGTTAGAATTCTTTCAAACTCGAGTATGTTGTAGCCCTTGACCGTGGCTATCTTTCCCAATTTGAATAGTATCAGAATATGGAGTATAACTCGAGTTATGAACTTCGGCGCACTAGGGGGTATGCTGCCATAGAAAACGTAACTCAATCACAATGATCTCACAAGTTCACACAAGAAAGTTAGAGTAGCAATAGAACCAGGTAGGAGGGGATGAGGAGGACGAGAGGGAAGGTCCCAAGAGAGTCCCCAACCAAGGAAACCCCATGCCATACAATTCCCTTCCCCATAGGCAACCCAACTTTGACCTTTGTCACTATCCCAACCTCCACAATCCACCTCAACCCAACTTGGCCACACTTGCCAACCTGGTTTGGTTTCTCCCAACCATTTGGCAGCAACTACAGTAGAAAAGACGAATTTCCCAACCCCCAAAAGTCTGTACCCCATATTGAGTCAACCCCACAACTTCCCATAGTCACCACAACCAAATATCAAAAGCATACGAACTCCAACGTTCGTAACTTTCTTGTTCGTGCTCCGATTGAAGCGATACTTGGTTCCTCGGAAAGCTCTTGAGCAGAGGAGTCACTTCAGATATCTGCTCAAGCCAAATAACATTCACACACACACTCAGAAAAACCAAACCGCACAAAACACAAATTCTTGCACACACTCACAACACGCATGCAACGCACGAACATATGATGGGAGGCAGACAGACGTGAATGCGAATGGTAGCATCACTCAACATAACCGTCTCAAGAGATTCGCAGTGACATCAGTAACCGTCTCAAGAGATTCGCAGTGACATCAATAACCGTCTCAAGAGATTCGCAGTGACATCAGTAACCGTCTCAAGAGATTCGCAGTGACATCAATAACCGTCTCAAGAGATTCGCAGTGACATCAATAACCGTCTCAAGAGATTCGCAGTGACATCAATAACCGTCTCAAGAGATTCGCAGTGACATCAATAACCGTCTCAAGAGATTCGCAGTGACATCAATAACCGTCTCAAGAGATTCGCAGTGACATCAATAACCGTCTCAAGAGATTCGCAGTGACATCAATAACCGTCTCAAGAGATTCGCAGTGACATCAGTAACCGTCTCAAGAGATTCGCAGTGACATCAATAACCGTCTCAAGAGATTCGCAGTGACATCATTAACCGTCTCAAGAGATTCGCAGTGACATCAATAACCGTCTCAAGAGATTCGCAGTGACATCAATAACCGTCTCAAGAGATTCGCAGTGACATCAATAACCGTCTCAAGAGATTCGCAGTGACATCAATAACCGTCTCAAGAGATTCGCAGTGACATCAATAACCGTCTCAAGAGATTCGCAGTGACATCAATAACCGTCTCAAGAGATTCGCAGTGACATCAATAACCGTCTCAAGAGATTCGCAGTGACATCAATAACCGTCTCAAGAGATTCGCAGTGACATCAATAACCGTCTCAAGAGATTCGCAGTGACATCAATAACCGTCTCAAGAGATTCGCAGTGACATCAATAACCGTCTCAAGAGATTCGCAGTGACATCAATAACCGTCTCAAGAGATTCGCAGTGACATCAATAACCGTCTCAAGAGATTCGCAGTGACATCAATAACCGTCTCAAGAGATTCGCAGTGACATCAATAACCGTCTCAAGAGATTCGCAGTGACATCAATAACCGTCTCAAGAGATTCGCAGTGACATCAATAACCGTCTCAAGAGATTCGCAGTGACATCAATAACCGTCTCAAGAGATTCGCAGTGACATCAATAACCGTCTCAAGAGATTCGCAGTGACATCAATAACCGTCTCAAGAGATTCGCAGTGACATCAATAACCGTCTCAAGAGATTCGCAGTGACATCAATAACCGTCTCAAGAGATTCGCAGTGACATCAATAACCGTCTCAAGAGATTCGCAGTGACATCAATAACCGTCTCAAGAGATTCGCAGTGACATCAATAACCGTCTCAAGAGATTCGCAGTGACATCAATAACCGTCTCAAGAGATTCGCAGTGACATCAATAACCGTCTCAAGAGATTCGCAGTGACATCAATAACCGTCTCAAGAGATTCGCAGTGACATCAATAACCGTCTCAAGAGATTCGCAGTGACATCAATAACCGTCTCAAGAGATTCGCAGTGACATCAATAACCGTCTCAAGAGATTCGCAGTGACATCAATAACCGTCTCAAGAGATTCGCAGTGACATCAATAACCGTCTCAAGAGATTCGCAGTGACATCAATAACCGTCTCAAGAGATTCGCAGTGACATCAATAACCGTCTCAAGAGATTCGCAGTGACATCAATAACCGTCTCAAGAGATTCGCAGTGACATCAATAACCGTCTCAAGAGATTCGCAGTGACATCAATAACCGTCTCAAGAGATTCGCAGTGACATCAATAACCGTCTCAAGAGATTCGCAGTGACATCAATAACCGTCTCAAGAGATTCGCAGTGACATCAATAACCGTCTCAAGAGATTCGCAGTGACATCAATAACCGTCTCAAGAGATTCGCAGTGACATCAATAACCGTCTCAAGAGATGCGCAGTGACATCAATAACCGTCTCAAGAGATTCGCAGTGACATCAATAACCGTCTCAAGAGATTCGCAGTGACATCAATAACCGTCTCAAGAGATTCGCAGTGACATCAATAACCGTCTCAAGAGATTCGCAGTGACATCAATAACCGTCTCAAGAGATTCGCAGTGACATCAATAACCGTCTCAAGAGATTCGCAGTGACATCAATAACCGTCTCAAGAGATTCGCAGTGACATCAATAACCGTCTCAAGAGATTCGCAGTGACATCAATAACCGTCTCAAGAGATTCGCAGTGACATCAATAACCGTCTCAAGAGATTCGCAGTGACATCAATAACCGTCTCAAGAGATTCGCAGTGACATCAATAACCGTCTCAAGAGATTCGCAGTGACATCAATAACCGTCTCAAGAGATTCGCAGTGACATCAATAACCGTCTCAAGAGATTCGCAGTGACATCAATAACCGTCTCAAGAGATTCGCAGTGACATCAATAACCGTCTCAAGAGATTCGCAGTGACATCAATAACCGTCTCAAGAGATTCGCAATGACATCAATAACCGTCTCAAGAGATTCGCAGTGACATCAATAACCGTCTCAAGAGATTCGCAGTGACATCAATAACCGTCTCAAGAGATTCGCAGTGACATCAATAACCGTCTCAAGAGATTCGCAGTGACATCAATAACCGTCTCAAGAGATTCGCAGTGACATCAATAACCGTCTCAAGAGATTCGCAGTGACATCAATAACCGTCTCAAGAGATTCGCAGTGACATCAATAACCGTCTCAAGAGATTCGCAGTGACATCAATAACCGTCTCAAGAGATTCGCAGTGACATCAATAACCGTCTCAAGAGATTCGCAGTGACATCAATAACCGTCTCAAGAGATGCGCAGTGACATCAATAACCGTCTCAAGAGATTCGCAGTGACATCAATAACCGTCTCAAGAGATTCGCAGTGACATCAATAACCGTCTCAAGAGATTCGCAGTGACGTCAATAACCGTCTCAAGAGATTCGCAGTGACATCAATAACCGTCTCAAGAGATTCGCAGTGACATCAATAACCGTCTCAAGAGATTCGCAGTGACATCAATAACCGTCTCAAGAGATTCGCAGTGACATCAATAACCGTCTCAAGAGATTCGCAGTGACATCAATAACCGTCTCAAGAGATTCGCAGTGACATCAATAACCGTCTCAAGAGATTCGCAGTGACATCAATAACCGTCTCAAGAGATTCGCAGTGACATCAATAACCGTCTCAAGAGATTCGCAGTGACATCAATAACCGTCTCAAGAGATTCGCAGTGACATCAATAACCGTCTCAAGAGATTCGCAGTGACATCAATAACCGTCTCAAGAGATGCGCAGTGACATCAATAACCGTCTCAAGAGATTCGCAGTGACATCAATAACCGTCTCAAGAGATTCGCAGTGACATCAATAACCGTCTCAAGAGATTCGCAGTGACATCAATAACCGTCTCAAGAGATTCGCAGTGACATCAATAACCGTCTCAAGAGATTCGCAGTGACATCAATAACCGTCTCAAGAGATTCGCAGTGACATCAATAACCGTCTCAAGAGATTCGCAGTGACATCAATAACCGTCTCAAGAGATTCGCAGTGACATCAAACCGTCTCAAGAGATTCGCAGTGACATCAATAACCGTCTCAAGAGATTCGCAGTGACATCAATAACCGTCTCAAAATAACCGTGGCTCAAGACGTCTCAAGAGATTCACAGTGACATCAGTAACCGTGGCTCAAGACAGTGAGGCTGGTGGCAGTGTATGTCTCCTGCTCCATCTCGTACAGCCCATTGGAGGCACCTCAAACGAGATGCTACTGGGCACTGTGCACTGAAACGGTAGCTGAGCAGAGTGGGGATATGTGAGGCGAGAGTGACTTTTGAGTCGACTCAAAAGTCACTGAAACGGTAGCTGAGCAGAGTGGGGATATGTGAGGCGAGAGTGACTTTTGAGTCGACTCAAAAGTCACTGAAACGGTAGCTGAGCAGAGTGGGGATATGTGAGGCGAGAGTGACTTTTGAGTCGACTCAAAAGTCACTGAAACGGTAGCTGAGCAGAGTGGGGATATGTGAGGCGAGAGTGACTTTTGAGTCGACTCAAAAGTCACTGAAACGGTAGCTGAGCAGAGTGGGGATATGTGAGGCGAGAGTTCACCAGGGCGGAGAGACATTACCTGTGGCTGAAGACAGTGAGGCTGGTGGCGGTGTGAGTCTCCTGCTCCATCTCATACAACCCTGCTCCATGCCACCTGTGCTCGTCCTCCTCCTCGCCCTTATACTCGTCTCCCTCCTCATCCTCATCCTCCTCTTCCTCTTCCTCCTCGTCACCACTCTCACTCTCCTCACTCTCTTCCCTCTTCCCATTTGCAGGATGCCCAGCTGATTGAGCATCTACAAGATAGAAGTACCGACTGGGTCGCGGGAGTGGGATGTGTTGGGAGGTTGGAGAGGAGGGGGTGTGGGAGCGTGGTTGGATAGAAGGGTGAGTGGGGAGATCTGGCACAGCAGCAGGCATGGTGGTGCCTTAGATGGATGTGGCTCCAGGGATATTGGTGCGACTTTTGAGAATTCTCAAAAGATCTGGCACAGCAGCAGGCATGGTGGTGCCTTAGAAGATGTGGCTCCAGGGCGTGTGGGGATGGAGTGAGCTGCACGAGATAGAAGTTGCGACTGGGTGGAGAGAAGGGGTTGAGGGGGGGCCTGTATGATAAAGGCCTCTTTTGAGTCGACTGAAAAGTCCCCTCGTTACAGTGGCATTATGGCACACGAGGCACAATTCGCGACCGGGTGGAGGGAGTGGGATGCGGATGTGGGGGGGTCGATCTGACAAAGGCTTACTAGGTGATGCAGAGAGGAGCCGGCTTGCGAAGCGACTCGGAATCGAATCTGCCGCCCTCAACGGAGAGAATCAGAGCGTACCAATTGGGTAGCTTGGACCAACTGTACGCCGCCCACACCTGCATGGCACGGTGGGTAGGGGTGAGGAGGGTTGAAACGGGATGGGAATGGCACGGTGCAATGAGATGGGGGTGGTAAAAGTTGGGGATGGCGTGGTATGGAGGGGAGGGATGGGAAGGGTGGGTGGTTGGATGGATGAAGCAGGGAAGTGAAAGTGCACTAGAGAGGAATGAATCTCACATCTTTGCCCCACACACTTCCTGCACGGCCCCGGCTATGCACCCATGCTCACCACTTACCTCCCCCACGCACCAACGCTCAGTGTGCTCACCTCTCCTGGAACCATGAGAGCAGACTTAGTGCGGGTGACATGGGCGGGCACACAGGCAAGCAGCGCACAGAGGGGAGAAGAGACCCCCCTTTTCACTCCCTGCACCACCGTGCTCTACTCATAACCTACCCCAACACACACACATGCTCACTGCGCTCACCTCCCCTGGCACCATGAGGGCGCACTCGGCGCGGGTGACGTGAGGAGGCACAAAGGCAGGCAGCGCACAGGGGGGGGCGGAGAGACGCCCATCACATTCCCTGCTCGCCCATTGCCTTGCGCGCCACTGCCCTGCTATCACACACCCTTACAATTCACGTGCGCTCACCTCCCCCGGCACCATGAGGGCGCACTTGGCGCGGGTGACGTGGGGAGGCACACAGTCGGGCAGCGCACAGAGGGGAGCGGAGAGGCGTAGCGATGGGGAGAGCAGCGGCGTGAGCAGGTATGATATCACTGCCACCTATGGGGGAAGAGGACCGTGGAAGGGCGTAAAGAGAGGGCTGTCAAGTCTTAGAGGAAGGTAGCAGCATAGAGGAAGGCTTAGCAAGTAGGAGAAGAACCAGTCAAAGGGTGAGTGGCAGGCGGGCAGGGACACTCAACTGGAAACGAGTTCCCCAGCAGGCCCCATCAGTCCCTCTCCTGCAACTCCTCCTGCTTACTCTCATCCCACCGACACGTCTCCTCCCTCCCACTCATCCCATTCGCCCTCCCGCTCGCCCTCTCACTGCCCCCACTCCGCCTCCGCCTCGTCTCTTTGAGCTGCTGCTGCACGCCCCTCCTCCTGGTGTGGTGGTGATAGAAGAGGAGAGGAGAGGAGAGGAGAGGAGAGGAGAGGAGAGGAGAGGAGAGGAGAGAACACAGGTAACGACAAGCTGTGCAATGGAGAGTGAGGTTGACTTGTGTAATTAACTTCGCGGCACATGCCCATCAGCATTGCTCACTAACCACCTCACATCACACTTGGCCCACACTTTCTGCTACAACCTCTACTACCCAACATCACTCACGCACATTCAATTTCACCTTCAACCACACCTCCCACGCACATGAGCTCTGACTCGCTGTAGAATCCAATCTTTGGCCTCGCTCGCAGCGACCTCCCAGTGCTGCCGCCAGCAGCAGCAGGTGCAGCAGCAGCAGACGCAACGCCAGCAGCAGCAGGAGGAGAGTGATCGCTTGCTCTCAAATCCCCGGTTGTCCGTCCGTTGCCCCTGTCGCCCTGCACTCCTCCGTCCTCCTCCCTTCTGCCCTTCTTCCCTCCACCCTTCTCGTCTCTCATAACTGATGCCGACACCTCAACCACATCGTCATCATCATCTTCATGATCCGTGGCATGACCGTTCACCACCGCATTATCACCCTTCAACACCCCAACATCACCACTCTTCACCACATTATCACACTTCAATTCTGAAGCACCATGATAACCAATACAATCCTCATCACCCTCATCACCATCAACATCCACACAATCACCGCTTCTCACCGCATCACACCGAGCCGCACCCTGCAGCTCTCCTCCATCTCGCCCCTTCCAGACTCTCCTCCTCTTTCCTCCACCTCCCTCCCGCTCTCCATTCGCCACTCCATTCCTCTTCCCCTCCACCCACCTCCTCGCCTCTCCGCCCTTGTGTATTCGCCTCTCTCCACATGCCTTTGCCGCAACGCCCAACACCCACTTCCCACCATCTCTTCCCACCACACCAAACCCCTCAGCACTTCCCTTTCCTCCATCTCCCCCAGCAATGCATGCATTCACCTCCCTCACCCCCCTCACCTCCCCCTCCTTAACCTCCCTCACCTCCGCGTCCTCTCCCTCCTCCTCTCTCACCTCCCTCACCCCATCCAACACTGCCCTGCCCAGCACTCGCACAGGGGAGAAAGGTGGAACGGAGGGGTCGCTGGGAACTGCTGCATCGAGTTCCCTCACCCCTCCTTCACTCTTCACTCCCCTCTCCCTCCTCACTCCTTCACTCATCACTCCTCTCTCAATCTTCATCCCTTCTTCGCTCTTCACCTCCCTCACATCTTCTTTCTCCTCCTCCCTTTCCTCACCTCTCAAGCAATCAGCCCCAGCAGACTTCCAATTGCCTGTACCATTTTCTCGCCCCTTCCCTGTCCCTACTTTCCCCTCTGTCGCCCCTCTCCTTCCCGCCTTGATAGCAGCAAACCGCGCGGCGGGGATCTTGGTGTATCCGGGCGGGAATCCAAAGATTCTCTCGATCTCGTGGGAGAGGAAGAAGCGGGCGGCATGGGATCGCAGGCAGATGACCTGATTGGTGCGGCCCTTGCCGGCCGTGCGGAAGTTGGTCTTCATGATGGGCTGGGGAAGATGGGGGGGTGAGGCAGAGAGAAAGGGAGCGAAATAGAGCGTAAGCGGAGCAGGCAAACTTCACAACCCCTTCCACACTCCTCCACCGTCCCTCCCATCCCTCCCGTCCCTCTGCTCCCATCGCTCACCCGATCACGTCACACAGCCTGCTCTGCAGCAGCGTGGACGGGAGGCAGCGCACGGGCGGGCACACTTCCAAACCCCCCCTACGACAAACCCCCTCTCCCTGCACCCACCCCGCACTTGTCTTCAGTCGCGATCGCATCGCTGAGCTTGCTCTGCAGCAAAGTAGACGGGTGGCAGCGCACGGGCGGCATCTGAGCTGGCAGCGGCAGGTTGGTCCAAAACAGCCGCCGCCGCCCCTGCGCAGTGAGGTCGGCGCAGTCGATGCAGATGGGTGGCACTCCGAGATACTTGGAGATCTCGTCGCGATCCATCCACTGCATGCTCGCCACGTTCTCCACCAGAAACCTGATTGAGGGGGGCGAGGGGAGGGAGAGGACGAGGAGTGTAGACAGGTCAGCACTCCCAGTCGCTTCAAGAGTTCTCAAGCCAATCCATCCATCATCCATCCATCAATCATCCATCCATCCATCACCCATCCATCCATCATCCATCCATCATCCATCCATCATCCATCCATCATCCATCCATCATCCATCCATCATCCATCCATCATCCATCCATCATCCATCCATCATCCATCCATCCACTGCATGCTCGCCACGCTCTCCACAAGGCACCTGATAGGGATGGTAGGTGGGTGTGGAAGTGGGGCAAAGGGAGCAACGGCTCATCATCACTCAGGCAAACGAGGTGCCCAGGCTGAGACAAAGGCACAATGCTAATGATTCGATGAAGCAGAGAGTCGCAACTCTAGAGGTCACCATGAGGGGTCACCATCTAGAGGTAGCAGATTGCGTTGTAAGGGAAAAAAGGGGTTACCATCTGGGGGAGAGCTGTTGTATGAGGCGCAGGAGGTGGAAGAAGAGGCCGCTGCGCGGGCCGTGCAGCCTGGGCGATGCACGGGGTGGGGAGGAGCGAGATCAGGGAGAGAGAGAGAGAGGCAGGGAGGCAGGTAGAGAGGGCCGGGAAGGGAAGGCGAGAGCAATGCAGGAGGGGAGGAGATGGCGAAGGTGTTGCAGGACTCATACTGAGAGACTCGTGTTGAGCAGGATTCGTAGTGAGAGAGACGGAGTGGCAGGTGGTGACTGGCAGTGCAAGCAGGAGAGACGGGAGGAAAGATGGAATGGCAGATGGAACGTTCCTGCTGTGTGCTCGTGTCACTCACCCCACCCTCATTCTGTTCATGCTGCTCAGGTCCTGACAAGGAAAGCCGCCCACCAGAAGGTCCACCTGGGCGGCAGCAGCAACAGCTGGTGACGCTTCCTTGCACTTTCTTGGAACACTGCCATGAGAAGCAGCGCTGCCAGCACCAGAAGCAGCAGCACCACCACCACCACCAGCAGTGGCACCCCTAGCGGCAGCAGCGGCAGCGAGGCCGGAGTGGATGGTGGAGGGAGTGAGGGCGGTGATGTCCCCCACGTGCTGCACGGCCGGCCACCTGTGCCGCACCACCTCCGCTGCGAATGGATCCTGTGCGCAGGATGAGAAAACTAGTGAAGAAGACTGGTGCAAAAAACAGTGATAGAGATAATGCTATGGAGCACGCCGCACGGCACTCACGATCTCAGAGCTGACGCCATTGAAGGGAATGCCACAGTCGTGCAGCGCCTGCATTTTCAGAGCGACTAGGAACTATACACCCAGCGTGCAGCACCCCCAGCAACGCACCCAGCGGCTCTGCACTCACGATTTCAGAGCTGACGCCATTGAACGGAATGCCACAGTCGTGCAGCGCCTGCCAGATGGCACCGCACCCGTCGAACAGACTCACCACGGCCAATGGCCGCCCCTCCCATGGCCCCGCCCGCCTCCGCGCCTCCCCCAGCCAGTCCCCGTCCCACCCCGCCCCCGCCTCCCTCGCCCATTCCCCCGGTTGCCCAGCCCAAGCCCCCGAGTGTGATCCCTGCGCCCCTTGCTGCGCTCCCGTCCGCGCAGCTGCGCCTGCGCCTGATTGCCCCCGCGCCCCTTGCTGCGCTCCCGTCCGCGCAGCTGCGCCTGCGCCTGATTGCCCCCGCGCCCCTGCCTGGTGAAACGGCTCTGGTTTTCCCCGCGGAACCATCCCTTTCCATCCCCCGATGTCTCCTTTCCCCGTTTTCCCCCTCCACCCTCCCGCCACCTAATGAGAGATCGCGTATAGCGGAGCCGCGCGCAAGCGGACTACGATCGTTCCGCCACGCCTCGCGCGTGGCGTGGGTTCTGAGTGGGCAATGGAGCCTCGAGACGCGTCGAGACGCCTCGAAACAAGCTCTGCGCGGCAATGCCGAGGAGGAAAGTGAAAATACAGCTAATACCACTAATACCACTAATACCCTTCGCCGTGCGCTAGCTAATGACCTGATAAACCACGAGTCGCTCCGGCCGCACGGCGAAGGGTGGGCCGAGAGTGGCTACTCAGCAGTCGTGCTAACCGGAGCGGCGGGTGTGCGTTTGTAGGCGTGCTTTGGAGGGCGAGATAAGAGTGTGATTGACGTGACGAGAGGAGGGCGATTTGAGGATCGCTGTCGTGAAATGTGCGGACCAGCGCAGCGGGATGGGTTGAGATGAGGATGATGAGAGTGGTTGATGTGACAGCAGTGTATTGCTCGCGAGTACAGTTACACTTCAGTAGAGATTGTGAAGTTGCAAAAATATGATATAAAGCTTTGACTGTTACGTATAGCGAACCTCCGGAACGCGGACGAACCCACCCCTATGCCAGTTTCATTGATATTTCGGGTTTTGTCGGGTTTGAGGGTTATTCCTCCTGCTCCTACAGAATTCAGGGCTTTGTCCCGTCAGCGATAGCTTAGTGTGAGATTTTCTTTCACAGAGCTTAGTTAGTCCTTTTCGACGCCTCAAAAGTTTGCGCATTAGCACCGTCTGTGTAGGCACATTCGCACGACTGCGGCTTTAACGCAGACATTAGATCTCGCTGCGCGCCGATGGGCTGGCAGGGAGGCGACGGAATGCGCGGAAGGGGGAGGGGACGTGGCGGAGGGAAAGGTGGGCGCGGGTACGGCGGAGGCGCAGGCGGCGGAGCGGGCGGAGGTGGCGCGGAGCGAGGCTCTACAGCGGAGCAACACGCTTTTGCGCCGTACGCACACCCGACCGTTGCACACGCAGTGACATCGATCCAGCCTACGTGCTACTCTTAATCGTCCCTCCCCTCACCCTCGACCCCCCACTCTCCCCTGCTCCTTTTCGCCAGACGCGTGCTGGACCCGTCTCTCTCGCAGTACTTCACGGAAATCGCCACCGCGTGGGAAGACACCCGCGACCCGCAAGGTGCGCTCCTCGCTCCTCCTAAACCCCGCCGCCCTACCCTCAACCCTTCTCTTCTTGAACCCCGTCTCTCCTCTCCGCTTCCGCGCATCGCTCTCACTCTCTACGCTAACTGCCCCCTCCATTCCGCATGGTCTTCAATTCCGCCCCACCGACCTCCTCTCTCTCCATTACTTGGCCCCAATCCCGAACCTTCCCCGTGCCTCAGACCGAGCCTCCATCGCCGCCAATGCTCTGGAGGAGGCTCGGGGGAAGGAACACCAGCTTCTGTGGGACACCCAGACCTGCCGCACCCTCGAGCCGCTCCTCTCCGCCGCCCCCCCCGCCGCCGCCGCCCGCTTCCTCGCCGGCGCCTGCTGCTGCGCGCGCAGGAGGGGAGGGGAGGGAGGGGAAGGCGCGGGGGGAGGCGGGGAGGGATCGGGGGAGCGGGAGGTGAACGTTTGTCGGGACGTATTGGCGCATGGGCTGGCATCAAGGGTGATTGAAGCGGGTCTGCGGAATATCCGCGCGTGGGTGACTGGAGAGAGCAGGACACGTGGCGGCGCGGGATTGGACGAAGCCGGGGCAGGAGATGACGAGAACGAGGAGCAGGATGGGGAGGGGGAGGAGGAAGAAACCGAGGAAGGGACAGGAGGCCAGGGTGATTTACCGAAATGGACTGGAACAGTGCGGGTGGTTTTGAAAAAAATCTGCAAAGAAGTGACAGAGTATCCCCTAGCAGCCATGACCAGCCCGGCTTGCTCCCACGTGCTGCGCTCCCTGCTTCTCCTCCTCGCCTGCCGCCTCATCCACGATACGCCCGCAGCAGCAGAGGGCACGAGGAAGGCTCGTCGGGATGGTGCGGAGGGCGTGGGCGGGGAGGAGGGTGGGGAGGAGCGGAGAGAGGGTGGCGCAGGAAGAAGGTTCGGCGGCCGCTTGCCTCCGCAGATTCAGCGGGCAGCTGGAAATTTTCCGCCGTCCTCCGGTGCGACCTTTCCAGGGATGCCCGGAATGGCCGGGCAGGGTGCAGGCTTGGCAGGAGGGAAGGAAGCGGGAGCAGCAGCAGGAGGGGCAGAAGCAGCGGCAGCGGCAGAGCGAGGGCGGAGGGTGGGGGGGGCGCTGGGGTTCCCGGCGCTGCTGCAGCGGGTGGTGGTGGGGGTGACGGCGGCAGCAGCGGGGGCGGACGAGGCAGTGCCGTCAGCAGCAGTGGCGTGGTCGCCCTATGGCGACTCGTGGACCCGCGCCTGTGACCCGTCTGCTGGCCCTCTGCTGCAGGTGAGTGTGGTGGTGGTGGTGGTATTTGGTCTGCTTGAGCTGCTGCTTGTGCTGGTGGTGCCGTCAGCAGCAGTGGTGTGGTCGCCCTATGGGGACTCGTGGACCCTCGCTTGTGACCCATCCGCTGGCCCTCTGCTGCAGGTGCTGCTGGTGCTGAAGGCATGACACTGATGGGATGCTGGTGTTGCAAGTGAGTGGTGTGGTGATGGTATCGCTGCTCGTGCTGAGACACGTATTCGCAGCACTGCACATCGTACAATACACCCGTTGCGCCTTGCTCTCGTGTCAGTCAGTGCTCACCTGCATTCCCTCCCCTTGACGCCCTGTGCGAATCTGTGCACGCCACGTGTGCAGGAGGTGTTGGATGTGATGTGATCCGTGATGATGATGATGATGATGATGATGATGATGATGATGACGACGACGACGATGATGATGATGATGATGATGATGATGATGATGATGATGATGATGATGATGATGATGATGATGATGATGATGATGATGATGATGATGATGATGATGATGATGATGATGATGATGATGATGATGATGATGATGATGACTGAGGGACGCATTCACCACGCTGCACACCTTACAATACAGCCCTCCCTTACCGCTGTTTTTCCTTTGCTTTAAGCCTACTGCACGCATGCAGCTCACTGAGACATGTCTGAATCTCGCATTCACCGCACTGCACACCTTACAATACAGCCCTCCCGTACACTGATCACCTGCATTCCTCCCCGCCTGTGCAGGTGGTGTTGGATGTGATTCGCGATGATGCTGCTCTGCTCTTGAGCGACTCAAAAACCTCGCCCTCCCCACGTGAGAAGCTGCATCCCTTGCCCTCCGGCCCTTTTCCCACCTGTGCAGGTGGTGTTGGATGTAATTCGAGACGATGCTGCTCTGCTCACCCACGTCATCACCTCTCTGCTCCACCTGCCTGAGGCTGCGCTCCGGGCAGCGGCGAAAAAAAGGAAACGGGCAGGGCCGGGCAGGCAAGAGGGGGGGCGTGGGAAGAAAAGAAGCAGAAGAGAAGAGGAGGAGAGAGGGGAGGGGGGAGAGGAAGGAGATGAGGTGGAAGGGAGGAGAAAAGAAGCAGAGGGAGGTGAGGAAGGGGAGGAGGCAGAGCAGCAGGTGGAGGAGGAGGTGGGGCAGATACTTGAGCTCATGAAGGACCGCTGTGGGTCGCGATTTATGGAGGTGAGGGGGGATGGGGTGGGGTTGGTTGATGCAGTGATGCAATTTGCTATCCTTGCCCTACTGTGATGCAGTGATGCAGTGATGCAGTGATGCAGTGATGCAGTGACGCTGTTGGCTTCCACCTCGTGGAGGCAGAGCAGCAGGTGAAGGAGGAGGAGGTAGCGCAGATTCTTGACCTCATGAATGAACCGATGTGGGTCCACATGTTGTTGGTTTGACCCTCACTCCACCTCTGCATACTGCGCTGACAACCCACCGCTTCCGCTCCTCTTGACTTCTGCCCGTCGTTCCCCATCCCATCCCGCGTTGATCCCCCCCATCTCCTCCACTTCCCCCCCCCCTCCACTTCCTCCCCAGACCGTGATTCAGCTCGCCCCACCGTCACTACGTTCCTCTCTCCTGCGAGTGGCCCTGCTGCCCCACCTGCTGCCCCTCGCACTGCACCCCATTGCCAACTACACTGTGCAAACCGCCCTCTCCGCCCTCCTCTCCCCCACCGACGTCAAACGCGCCTTCAAGGCCCTGGCGGGGGGAGGGAACGGGGAAGGGGAGGGCGCGGGGAGTGGGGCAGGGGGAGGGGAGGCGGGGGGTGGAGAGGGGGGGGAGGGGGGAGGGAGAGGGGAGGGGTTGTTGGCACTGCTGAAGGGGGGCAGAGGACGAGTGGTGCTGGCGCTGCTGATTGCGTGTGGACGCACCAAGACGTTTCAGGCACGGGTGAGTGAGTTGTGATCATGGCGTGGTGTGACTGAGTGGATGCGGGAGTGGGAAACGAAACACCAAGCCACTCACCGGTCTGCAATCCCGCGACCCTATCCATTTGACTACTTCCCTTACTGCATCAGATCCCTGCTTTCCATTCTCTTTGACTGTTTCTCTTCAAACGCATAACTTCCCTCGGCAGGCCTGTGAGAGCCTGCTAGCAGCCCTCTCCTCCTCACCAGCACCATCACCAGTGGACGTAGCAGCGGCAGATGCGGCAGCGGTGGGCGATCTGCTGTGGCTGGACGCGTGGCTGGCAGTGCGGGTGAATGATGTGAGGTCCAACCGAGCCAAGAAGCGCCAGCAGCAGCAGGGGTGGGGGTCCGTGCCCGTGGCAGAGCGCGGGGCGGTGTCGTTCGTGGGATGCATGGTGCTGCAGACCATCTTCTCATATCCTCTGGTGCGTCCCCAGTGCTGCAGCAAGCAGTGATCCCAACAGCAAGCAGCCGGTAGCATGTGTGCGTCTCTCTGCTCTCGTCCCCATTTTCTCTGCCAACTGCTCCAACCAAGCTTCCATGTAGGCCGTCTCACCCTTCCGATTGCATGTCAAACCATCGAATTCCCGTTACATCATACCCTCATCGTATACCAGGAAGCGTCGCAGCGGGTGGTGCAGGCGTGTGTGGCGCTGCCGCCCTCCTACCTCATGCACCTGGCCACGGATGTCAAGGGCACGCGCGTCCTCTCTGCATTCTTCCGTGCTACCACTGTCCCTCTGGACCTCAAGACCACCATGCTCAACAGGTACGTGCGGTGTGGTGCTGTGAGGTGTTGTGCGGTGCTGTGAGGTGTTTTGCGGTGCTGTGCCGTGATGTGCGGTGCTGTGAGGTGTTTTGCGGTGCTGTGCCGTGATGTGCGGTGCCGTGCGTCTCACAACATTTCCCCACCCTCACCTCTCCCAATCCTCATCACATGCCTCCCTCCCGCCCCTCGCAGTTTGAAGCCTTTTGAGACGTCTCAAAAGCCACCCTCACCTCTCCCTCCAATCCTCATCACATGCCTGCCTCCCGCCCCTCGCAGTTTGAAGCCACGCCTGACGACGATAGCAGCAGATAGGCTGGGTGCGTTTGTGGTGTCGGCAGCATTTGATGCCATGACGGTGGAAGGCAAGCAGATGATTCTCGCTGAGCTGGCGACGCGCTATTCGTCGGCGTCGTCCTCTCTGCTGCAGCGGCCTCTCTTCCGTCACATGGGCCTCGCAGAGTGAGTCGTTGCTCTTCTCTGCTTCCTCTGCTCTTCTGTGTGTCCTCTCTCTCCTCCTCGTCTTCTGTGTGTCAAACTCACACGCTTGGCAGGGTCTACCCTAGTAAGCATCTCGCGCGCCTTGCTGTTCAGTTCAGTCTCACCTGTTCCCATTATGTACGTCCTTCTCATGCTCGCTCCTCCCCACTCCACACCCACCAGATATCTGGAGAGCCCAGAGGCGTGGCAGAAGCAGCAGCAGCGCAAGGAGGGCCTGCTGCGAGAGTTCCAAGACCTGCTTGCGCCTGCTCCCGCTGCCTTCCCCTCACTGGCTCCTGCGCCCGCTGCACTGCCTTCCGCCTCCTCACCTGATGCCAAGCCTCGTAAGAAGAAGAGAGAACCGGATGTGGAAGCAGCAGCTTCGGCTGTAACTGAGAAAACGAGAAGTGGGAAGAAGAGAAGAGGGGGTGATGAGGGGGATGAGGGGGAAGAGGGGCGGCATGGAGGGGGTGATGTGGGAAGCAGAGGGGGAGGTAAGTCTGGGGGAGCGTTGAGAGGCATTGTGGAGCAATTGGAGCTGGGGAGTGAGATGGCAATGTTGGGGTTCAGTGGTGACGGTGGGGAGATGGGACAGGAGGAGATGGATGGTGGGAGTGTTTTGAAGAAAAGAAAGGACAAATCCGCTGGTGCGGAAACCAAGAATAGAGGCCGTGTATGAAGAGTTGGTGGCATCTTTTGTTTGATCCTGGTGTAATTCTCTTCTGTTGAAATTCTGGCGCACCCTGTTTCTTTCAATGGGATATTTGTTAGGCCCCAGTAAATCACTCACTTATTGCTTATGTGTTCGAACTAGGCATACTGTATTGAGATAAGCTACCATGCCTGACTTGCCGCAGACGAATCAATGCCAAGCTGAAACAGTTGCCGCCCCGGCGGTGGGAATTTGAGATCCACAGTGCCAGCTGGGCCGCAGTGCTGATTTTGAGAGGCAGACGATTGGCCACTAGCCCACCAGCTCGGAACAGTGATCGGAAATGTGACTCGCTGGCCGCAACGAGTTTCGTTCCGTCCGGCCCAATGAATTGTGCAGCTGGGTGGAAAGATTCGGGATGCGGAAAAAGGCACTTCAAGAAATCTTATCATGTGATCCTTACCGCATTCGTGCAAGGCAGCTCTCTGAACAGCATGAGGTCCACGATTCATGACGAATCCAATCTGTCCAGAACACCAACCATTGATCTCGCCAGCGCGAAGAATGAGGTCGCGCGGTTCGGTTCCTTTCTTTATGAACTGCCCCGCTACTGCATCCTGTCATCGTACTGTACAAGTTCACTGTTCTCGTTCGCAACGCCACGATGTCGAAGGGGAGACGGAAGAAATAATTGCGCGACGTGACTATTTTCATATTTTTCTCAATCCTCTCTACCACCCTTGCACCGCGTTCCCCACTTTCTGATATTTCTTAATCCCGTGGACTGCCACTTGATTTATACCTGCAAGCAAGGTCTAGTTACTCTGAATTTTCGTTATAGTTTAGTTTAGAGTCCCTTTTATTCTTAGATTTAGGGTGAGAACGAATCTGACACGATCCATATGCAATAATTGCAACCCCAATGAGAATTGGCTAAAAACGGCCAACATCATTCATACTAAAATCATGCCAGAGGCGGTTTGCTTCCGTACTTCAACCTGAATTTATCAGTGCCGATTGGTTCTCTCTTTTCAATCTCGCTTTTCACCCTAATCACACTTCCAAATTGTGACAGAAATAGAACGAAATTACCGAACTAAAATGCAAACGATTGTGTCAAGGTGCTACCCAAGAATCAACAAAAAAAAAGCATTGAATACTCAACCCTTTACACACGGAAGCACCGTGACATGGGATAAATTCAATTTATATTTGCGCTCCCTTACGTTGGAGCGCGAGTTCTAGTTAGAAAAAATGCTGTTGGGAAAACGGAAACAAAATGGGAAGGCATCAACCCTAAACACTGGATGGCTTCCCCTGTTTATGGTTGATATTCCCAAATTGTGTCCTGTTTTTCTTGTTTTGATAGTTCTGGGTAAATCATGCCTGGCCAGAGAATGTTGCGTCCAACAAACCTACTCTAAATTTTTTCCTGAACATTTATGCTACTATGGCGAAATCTTTTGTTGGGTCCTTGGGATTTAGAAATATATAAAAACGTGTAACGCGGTTCGAGGGTGGTCGACAGGATTAATAAAAAAATCAAAAATCATCGCGTCGCGCAATTAAGTCGAGACGGAAGCTGCGCGTAGGCAAACTGTACCACCGCACAGCTGGCACAGCACAGCAGCCCTTCTGTCACATCTGCGTTACTTGTCCATCACACCAGCTTGCACTCACTCACCCTCCACCGACCTTCGCGCACCCCTACTCCACCCCACCTTATGATGTCCCTTTCCACCCATCACTACCGAGCTCAATAACCAGTCCTACACCCACCCTACCCAGACATTCCAACCACTGGAAGCAAGCAAGCAAGCCGTCAACATTGTCGTGCGTGGGGCGCACCAGTGTCACTCCCGCATATTATTTATTTCCTCTTCATCCCAGTCGTCCTAACGCCAAGACACTTCTCACTCTAGCATGTAGACGCCTCTCTGTGACCGTGTTACTGTCTCACAGCTCGTTCTTCAAGAATCTCGCGAAACGCACGTACTCCCGGTCGGCGCTATTCCGCTGTAGCCTGCCTATTGTCGTCCAGCAGAACCAATCATGACGACCGATCAGACGCGAGATTCGTCCGCGGAAGCGCCGCTAAGCGGTCCTAACCGCCATGAATTCGCCGCGGATGTGCCGCCAGAAGTCGTGGCGGCAAGCGCGGCGATTTTGACGGAGAAGGAGCAAGACCCGGTGACGAGGCGCGAGTGGTGGGGGTGGTTTATTTACAACGCGGCGGGAAACGCGTTCTCCCTCGTCGCCATGTCGATCTTCTTCCCGCTGCTTCTCGTCTACCTCGCCACCGCGCAGGCCGCCACGCAGGCCGGCGCGCCGCCGCCTCCGCAGTGCAACGCGACGCTCACGACGGGCTGCTTGCAATGCGTGGCCGGCAAGGGGCAGCAGCTGATGACGTCAACAGGGTACGCTCGTGCTGTGCGCGCAAGTCAGTATTCCCCCGAAGCGCGTTAGCGTAGGAAAGAGCAACACGGCGTTTAACAAAAGCGACAGGAATTCCAACTCTTGCGGAGGTTCATGCGCGATAAGGTAAACGAAGCAGTAAACGAAGCGAGGCGGGGCTGTCATGTCGAGTGAATGTCAACCCCGACTTGATATGGCGGCCTTCTAGCTGGCATGTCGTTCGAGGCGTCTTGTTCCGCGCCGCGGCATATAGTTCCTTCGAGTACATGACGGCCTGTATTGAGTCGACTCAAAACACACCTTACTAGGTCTCGAGCCAAGTGCGTAAGCGGTCCTCTTCGCATCCCGTCTCCGCCGCTCCACCTCTCCTTTGGTCCCGCCTTGGGTTCCCCTCTCCCTCTCTCCCCACCGGAATGGGAGGTGGGGAGAGAGGGAGAGGGGAACCCAAGGCGGAAAACCCCCATCTCAACCCTCATCCCCCTCTCCCCAATCCCCCTTCCCCCCCAAACCCCCTCAGCTACACGGTGTACGACGCGCGGAATCTGCAGGTGGGAGTGCTGTCCATGGAGCCCGTGGCGCACACGACGACGGTGGTGATCGGGTTGTCCCTCACACTCCCCCATCTCCCACCCCCCATTCCCCCACCCCTTCCCCCCTCAGCTACACGGCGTACGAGACACCGAATCTGCAGGCGGGCGCGCTATCCATGGAGCCCGTGGCGTACACCACGGTCATTGGGCTGGCTCTCACATCCCTGCGTTTCCTTTCCCCCTTCCCTCGTGGCAGCTACACGGCGTACGACTCGCCGAATCTGCAGGCGGGCGCGCTGTCCATGAGTCCCGTGGCGCACAAGACGGTGGTCATCGGGCTGACCCTCACACTGCCTCATCCCACCCCCCCATTGCCCCGCCCCTTCCCCCTCAGCTACACGGCGTACGACTCGTCGAACCTGCAAGCCGGCGCGCTATCAATGGAGCCCGTGGCGTACACCACGGTCGCCATCGGGCTGACCCTCACATTCCCTCTTTGCCCAATGCCCCATCCCAATCCCCCTTCCCCTCCCCCACACCTCCCGGCAGCTACACAGCATACGACTCGCCCAACCTGCAGGCGGGCGCGCTTTCGATGGAACCCGTGGCGTATACAACGGTCATCATCGGGCTGGCTCTCACACCCACGCATTTCCCTTCCCCCTTCCCTCGTAACAGCTACACGGCGTACGACTCGCCCAACCTGCAGGCGGGCGCGCTGTCGATGGAGCCCGTGGCGTACACAACGGTCATCATCGGGCTGGCCGTGGTGGTGCAGATCATCGGCCTCGTGTGCTTCGGCGCCGAGGCGGATTTCGGGCAGGGCCGATGGCGGGTTAGTAACTGAGGGGGGGTGTGTGGAGTGTGGGGGGTGGGGAAGGGGCTGGCCGTGGTGGTGCAGAACTTCGGCCTCGTGTGCTTCGGGGCCGAGGCGGATTTCGGCATGGGGCGATGGCGGGTGAGTGAGATGATGGCTTTGAAGGATGGAGAAGGTAAAGAGGGGGGGACGTGAAGCGAGGGAGGATAGCGGGGAGGATGGGTTGATGGGATCTGTGCCATGCATTCTCTGCCTCGTTCCTCTTGCCCTGCATATCTCCCTCCCTCCCCCTTTTCGGCTAACTCTCACCTTCACCCCATCCCTCCCTCCCTTCGTCACACCACAGATGCTGCTGATGCGAGCGGTGCCGTGCATTCTCTGCTTTCTCTCCCCTCACCATTTTTGAGACGTCTCATAATTCTCTCCCCTCACCATTTTTGAGACGTCTCAAAATTCTCTCCCCTCACCATTTTTTAGACGTCTCAAAAGTCTCTCCCCTCACCATTCCCCTGCACTTCCTTCCCTCTCCCTGCCTGCCCTCCCTCCCGCCCACCACAGATGCTGCTGGTGGGAACGCTGATGGGGGTAGTACCCTGCATTCTCTGCCTGGCGCTCACGTCACCGTCGCTCTGGTGGCTTGCTGGGCTCTTTGCCATCATCGCCAATCTCGGATACGGCATCTCGCTTGTCGGCTACAACAGGTGAGAGACTATATCAGTTGGGATGTGAGGCGCTTCAGCCGGTGATGTGCCGCAACGGGTGTTGTTGCGATGTCTCAAGAACCCCTCTGGTGGCTGGCGGGTCTGTTTGCCATCATCGCTAATCTCGAATACGGCTTCTCTCTCGTCAGCTACAACAGGTGAATGAGGGTGCTACAGCCAATCAGATGCCACTACAGGTGCATGTAGCAAGATGCCGTCTTGAAACCCCTCGGATACGGCATCTCGCTCAGGTCAACAGGTGAGTGGGGTGCTTGGCACTACAGCCGGGGAGGTGCTGAATTGCAGCTGATGAGTGAGGGTTCTACAGCAGGTGAGTTAGGCGCTGCAGCAAGTACGATGATGCAAGGCACTAAACGGGGGGGAAGGGGGGGGTTTGGGGGTGCTTGGGACTACAGCCGGGGAGGTGCTGAATTGCAGCTGATGAGTTGCTGCAAGAGGTGAGGCTCCTTACTCACGCAAGAGATAAATTCCTATTCACCCGCTCGAGGCAACAGGATCCCTATCCCCACCCTCATCCCCGCCTTTGCTGGCAGCTTTCTGCCGGCGCTGGTAAACTAATGGGACTTGGTGCTTCAATCTAACCAAACCCTGCTGTTCATCTGTCCCCTTCCCGCCCTCCCCACTTCCTACCTACCCCCTCCTTTCTCCTCCCTCCCCCCCACCCCCTTCTCCCCCACTGTCCCATCTACCTGCCTGTGCTGGTGGACGCGTCTCCAAAGGTGCTCCCTGCCGGGCCAGACGAGGCATCCATCCTCGCTTGCGTTCCCTCTCACCACCCGTGCCACCCGCCCTCCCTGCCCTCTCTCACCACCCGTGCCACCCGCCCTCCCTGCCCTCTCTTTCTTCTGTCGCAGCTATCTGCCTGTGCTGGTGGACGCGTCTCCAAAGGTGCTCTCTGCGGGCCCAGATGAGGCATCCATCCTTGCTGTCCGCGAGAAGGTGAGCTAGCTGGCAGGGAGAGATAAGCTGAGGTGGCAAGGAGGGAGAAGGTGAGCTGGCAGGGAGGGTAAAAGTGAGGTGACATGGAGCAGGTGAGGTGGCAGGGAGGGGGAAGGTGATGAGGCAGGGGGGAGGTGATGAGGCAGGGGGAAGGTGATGAGGCAGGGGGAAGGTGATGAGGCAGGGGGAAGGTGAGGGGGCAGGGAGAAGGTGAGGTAGTTGCTTGCTTCCATGCCTGTGTCACAGCCAACCATCTCACAACCTCACCCGCCCAACAGCCCCAACGGAATCACACCTATACGGTCCCAGAAGATGAGTCACCATGGCCGTCTGTGAATCGGTGGCCTCTGGTGGATCGCCCTCTCTGCTGTCACCTCCTTTGCCAGATTCCCAAATTGCAGGCCGCGGGCATCAAGACTACTAATCTTGATGACCTAGGTGTTGCCCTGCGACACTTTCTACAAATCCAGCCTAGTCCCGATACTCAGCTGGAAGAATCTTGTGCTGCAACTCGGGACTTGGGCACAAACAAAAGCACAGACGAAGGCACCAGTGCTAGAAACACCACGTCAGCCCAAGTGCACAGCCATCAAGACTACTAATCTTGTGCAACTTGGGACTTGGGCTTTAATGCCTAAAGCGCCTCATTGATATACCTCCTCCTCTCCCCCCCTCCTCTCCCCCTCCCTTACCCCATCAGGTGGAGAACAAGGCTTCCCTGTCAGGCCTGGCAATGGGCACTCTAGGGAGCGTGCTCTCCATGCTGCTCACCTTCGCCACCACGCTCCTCATCCCAGACGACCTCCTCAAGCTCCGAGTCACCGTGGCAGTCTGCGGCGTGTGGTGGATCGCCCTCTCTGCCTTCACCTTCGCCTGGCTGCACCCGCGCCCCGGTCCCCCCATGCCCAAGACCGGATTCTCCATGCTCAACCGCTGGCGCCACCTCTTCGGTCTCTTCAAGGAGGCTTCCCGGTACCGCTACACGTTCATCTTTCTCATCTGCCTCGTCGCTTACGGGAGCGGATTCACGACCATGCTGCAGATGGCGGTGCTCTTCGGCCAAAACGACCTCTGCCTGTCTGTATCATCCATGGCGATTATCGCACTCACCGTCGCTGTCGTGGCGATCGTTGGCATGCCCCTCGCGCTGCTCTTCCAGCAGAAAACCCACGCGACGAACAAGACCATGGTCGTGATTCTCCTCACATGCCTAGTTCCCCTGCCTGTGTGGGGATTCATCGGGTATTTCACCGCAGACGGGGGATTCGGGCTGAAATCCGCGTGGGAGATTTACGTGTGCGCGGCGTGGCTGGGGTTCTTCTTGGGCGCGCTGACGTCATACTCGCGCACACTGTTCATTGACTTCATCCCCGTGGGTCGCGAGGGCGCCTTCTTCACGTTGTTCTTCATCTGTGATCGCATCAGCTCCTGCATCGGCCCCTTTGTCATCGCGGCTGTCACGCAGGTCAGTGCTGGGGGGCTGGTGCTAAGCTTGTGTTCACCCGCTGCTGGGCTGAGGCTGTTGTGTGTGGGTCTGTTGGGATGTGGTGATTTAGCCAGGGCGCCTTCTTCACGCTCTTCTTCATCTGTGATCGCATCAGCTCCTGCATCGGCCCCTTCGTCATCGCGGCTGTTACGCAGGTCAGTTCTGCCGGGGGGGCAGGGGGGGCTGCTGGGCTGCTGCTGGGCTGGTGCATTGCTGAGATTGTCGCATGTGGGTTTGTTGAGATGCAATGGGTGAGCCTGGGAGGTGTGAGGACACAGGAGGGACAGAGAGTTGATGATATTATGCATGCATGTAATTCTGCCGAAGAGAGTGCATACTATGCACAGTTGGGTCAGGTGGTCTAAGAGGTGATGTTTGTTCTCCATGCTTTCACATGTTTCATTGCTGTATCTCCCTCCCGGGCCTTCCACTTTTGTCCGTTGTTAGGTGGGGGGTCAGCTGCGGCCTGTATTCGGATACGTTTTTCTTGTGCTGGTTATCCCAGCCATCTCTGTCCAATTATTTGTCAACTATAACAAGGGGGTGGCAGAGGCTGGGAGGGCAACCAAGCATCAGGAAAGATTACAAGAGGAGGGTCTTCATGAAGCCACTCAAGCTCATGGCACTCAAGTGGTTCACGCAGAGCCTTGAAATTTTATTACGTGTGTTTGGGCCCGAATGCCCCGCGCTTATGTTTCCATATACGGTACATGAGTTGGACTCTCGCCAACTAATTACACTTAATATTATATGCATATGCTTTTTTTATTTTACTATATTGGCACAGTACAACAAATATGTGCAGCTTGGTGGTTTGTCGAATCTTCAGTATCTCCCCTAAAACACGGGCGAGGTTAATTTTTCGCCATCACCCTGATCGCATTCCGACCGACCAACCATGTTCCGTTGGGCTCAAATCCCGAGAGAAACATCGCGTCGCGTCGTGATGGCGATGATCCCTCCCGAATCGCCCGAAATCTCAAATTCTTCGCACCTCTCAATTTGGCGAAATTCAGCATTTCACCTCCCCTCCCTCATGGCCTCTGACGATGTGCAGTGCAACTGCCTCAGCAGTCACTGGGGTGGAAATGGGAAGAGAGCAGGTGCCGCAGACAGTGCAGGATGGTTCAGTTCAGATGCTAGAATGCGCAGGACAAGCTGAATCAGAGAGGCGCCGTCCGTCAGTAAGTGGGCTAGCGTTCTCGTTTCTCGCCGCCCCCAGGTAGGCCCGATCTAATTGCCTCTGACGATTCGAGGTACTACAAGGAGCAACGAGCGTGCCTTGTCCCGGTCTACTCAGGAGAAAGCGCATTTGCATTTCGCCCTTGCGGGAAGGCACTTCATAGACTGCGTAACCAGGTCACTTTGCATAGACCGCCTATAATCCTGAGCTTTAGCGTCGGGCCTCAGGTTGAGTCGTTGATTGGACGGGTGCTTGAAACCTCTTCTGGCGCTCGTATATGAACGACATCGAGGTCAGCGGACGCAAGAGCTCATCGTTCGAGAAGGACCCGTATCCTTGAAGATTAGATTGTCGATATCACAGAATTTCTGCGATTAAAACAGAAATTTCGTCTCTTTGAAGCCTAAATCATCAATCTCACGAACGACGGAAGGACATGGCAAAGGTCGCTCCCATCCCCGTTATAGTGTCGCGACTGGAATACACACCCAAGGACGAGCACATGCGACAGAAAACCGCTAGCGCGTTTCTCGACCTAGACGACCCTGGCGGAAGCGGAAAGCGCGCAGGAAGCGCCGGAGGCGGGGGAAACGCGGGAAGCGGGGAATACGCGGGAGGAGAGGAATACGCGGAGGGCTCAAGGGTTCCTCTGACGAAGCGGGAGCTATGGGGCTGGTACTCGTACAACGTGGCCGCAAACTCGTTCAGCGCGGTCGCCATGCCGATTTTCATCCCGCTGCTGCTGCTGCTCCTCGCCGACGCGCAAGCCTGGAACGACTCGGGCGCTGCCAAACCACCGCAGTGCACCGATCTGATCACCGCCGACTGCTTTCAGTGCGTGCCGGGGAAGGGAAACCAGCTGGTGACGTCAGCGGGAGCGTACAGCGAGCTGGAGCAGCCGCGCGTGCGCCTCGGCGCGCTTAGCATCAACCCCGTGTCGTACGCGACGATCGTCATCGGCGTCGCCGTGTGCTGCCAGATCGTCGCACTCGTGTCGCTCGGGCCGTTCACCGACTACGGCCGCGGCAGGAAGCAGGTGCGTGGGCGGTACTTAGTAATCCGCCTCATCTTCCCCCTTCCCTCAACAGGCAGAGAGTAAGCAACAGTCAGCAATCATATGCCAATCTTCTTCCCCTTTTCCTCAAGCCTGAATGCTCAATTGGAGCTCGCTTGCGTACTCGCTCAAGTGGTGCTCGTTTCTCTCCTCTCTTTCTTCCATACTTTCTACATTGCGAATCCCAACCCCTCCAGATGCTGAAGGCGGGCACGTGGATGGGCGCATCAGCATGCACAGCCCTCCTCTTCATGCTCACCCCCTCCCTCTGGCTGCTCGCCGGTCTCCTCGTCATCATCGCCAGCATTGGATACGGCCTCGCCACAGTCAGCTACAACGGCTACCTGCCCCTCCTCGTGCACGCCTCGCCCGAAGTACTCTCCGCCGAGGCACAGGCCGACCCGGAAGCAGTCGCGGCCACACGGGAAGACGTGGAGAATCGGTACTCTCTTATTGGGCTCGCGGCGGGGTGTCTGGGTGATATACCGATCACGCTCGTTGCGTTTGCGCTCACGCTGGTTTCCTCGGACGAGTCGGTTCAGATGCGCGTTGCCACCGCGTTTTGCGGCCTCTGCTGGATTCTCTTCGCCCTCCCCACTTTTCACTACCTCCGTGCCCGACCGGGACCCCCCCTCCCGCTTCCCCCTCCCCCCTCTGCGGGAGATCATGAGGCAAAGGGGGCGGAGGAAGGCAGGGACGGAAGCTTCTGCTACTCCGTCTGTAGCAGCGCTGGCTGCCACAGCTCGGGAGAGACCTGCCGGGGTTGCCGCTACAGCTGGGGGTCGTGCTACAGCCGGGTGCGGTTCTTTTTCAGCGTCGTGGGTGCGAGCTGGAAAGGCATGGGGGACACATTAGCGGACGCGTATCGGCACCACCGCAACGCTCTCGTGTTCATCGCATGCTACTTTGTGTATGCTGACGGCTTCTCCACTATCATCCAAGTCGGGGTTATTTTCGGGCAGCAGGATCTGTGCGTGCCGCCCGCAACCCTCGCCATCCTCGCCACCTCGGTTTCGTTCTGGGCGGCAGCCGGCATGCCGGTTCTCTACCTCATACAGAGACGAACCAAGTGGAGCAACAAGACAATGGCAATGATTGCCCTGGGCGGCATGCTGCCTTTGCCGCTGTGGGGCCTTATCGGCTACTTCACAGATAGCTTCGGGTTGAAGCAAACGTGGGAGTTATTCGCTTACGTGGGGTGGTTCGGCCTGTGTCTGGGCCCGCTACTATCGTACTCTCGTACACTGTATGTGGACCTAATGCCGTCGGGCAAGGAGGGGGCGTTCTTTGCCATCTACACCATCAGCGACAAGGGCAGCTCGTCCTTCGGCCCATTCGTCGTCGCCATCATCGCTCAGGTGCGTAGCTCGCTTCACTCGCTATGGCTTTGTCTGCTCCTTGCCATGCAGTCCAGTCATTTGTGCTTGGTCACATGAGCTGGTTGATGAGCTGGGCTGGAAGCATATCCACATACCGTAAGACCTGGGAGCCAATGTGGTGTAGAGCCCACCCACATGTTGGTGGAATCTCCATCCATCCCTGCTGTCTGTCTTGCTCACACTACCTCAGTCTCAGCCATCTCCATTGCGATCCGTCACTGATTATTTTGCCCTCCCTTTGTCCACAACCCTGCCACCCTCTCTCCATCCTGCAGGTTTCTGGCACGATTCGGCCCACCTTTGTGTACATATTCCTGGTCATGTTCATACCCCTTATAGTCGTCATCTTTTGCCTCGACCACAAGCAAGGCATGGAAGACGCTGGCCGCAACAAGGTCACAACAACAGTGAAGACATCGGAGGACGGCGAGGAGGCTCCTGAAGCATGTGGGGAGGGAGGATCGGAGCTTCACTCTGCGGGTGCTCAATCCAGTCACAGTGGCAGTAGAAGAGATGATGCAGGGTAGGAAGGACGTCCCATGCCACAGCTAGTGACATGTACCCTCCTATTCTACAACTAATACACAGTGTCTACCCACCGACCTGACAACACTTGGAGTTTAGTGGTGGTTTTAGTTTATTTTGAGAAAGCACCAGGGGTGGTGGTGTAGTTTATTTTAAGAAAGCATGGGTTGAACATGGGGGGCCAATTATGTTGGCACCCCCCTGGAAATGACATTGAAGATTGGACTGTCAGTGAAGGGTTTAGTAGTAACCTAGCATACATGTGCTTGACAGCACTACGGTATGTTCCCTACATGGGCACAAGCCCTTAAGCATACTCAAGAATCGATACTGGATAATAATCAAGGTTTTCCCGGGATCCATTCCCAGTCCGACCTCCCCTCCCCCCTTTCTCCCGCCAATCACCCCAAACGGCCTCCCTCGCAACCCATCTTCTAATTCCCACACCCCCACAACAGCCAACCACTGTCCATTAGTCTGAACCCCATCTTATGGATAAACCATTCCCGATCGCCTCAGATGAGCGCCTCGAGAGGCTTGCCATCGTCGAAGCACCCGATGAGTCCCGCCAGGAACTCCGCATCCGCCAACGTATCCGCGTCCTTCACCCCCATCTCCTTCACACCCGTCAACCCCGCACCCATCGCACAAGCCCGCGCCAACCCATCATTCCCCGCGTTCGCTCTGTTTGCTCCGTTCGCCACCACAGCCGCGTCCGCCGCGACTCCCTCCGCATGCGACGGCGGCGCGGACGCGCCCGTGATCGCGCTGGGCGAATGCACGCCCTCCTCTTCCGACTCTTCGAAACTCGTCGTAGCCACTAATCTCGCGCGCTTGTTCCCCGCGCCTTCCGCCGACGGCTCCGCCACCTCCCGTTTCCCCGCCTGGAAAACCTTGAGCGCAAAATCCGCGCTCATGCCCGCATCCGCCGCAGCGTCAGTCGGTTTGTTCGCAACGGGGACGTCAGCGCGGGTGAGCGCGTCGCGTAGCCGTTTGAGTTCGTTCTGCAGGCGGTCGTTGCTCTCTTGGTATTGCCGAATGTGGTCTGACGCCTCGTTAAGGCGCCGCGTGACGGCCGCGTTCTCGACGCGCAGCTTCGCGCTTTGGATCTCCAGCTCCTCGAGTCGCTCCTGCTTCCGTTGCCGAGACCGCTTCGCCGACGCGCGGTTCGACATCATCCTGCGACGAAACGGACGACGGAGAAGCAAGGCAGAAACCCGTTAATCGAATGCCAAAACTGGAACACAACGTCCTATCGACGGAACCAAACGGAAGAGTTGACGTGACAACGATAAAATCACCACAAACGGTCTCACGCCTACGGCTGGAGGTGCTACGCGATACAAAACAGCCGATCCCCCCGAGGCCTCACCTCTTATGCTTCTTCGGGTCGAGGTCTGCGAGCTCCTCCGCCGTCAAGCCGTCCGTGCTCATCGCGCCCATGTCGCCCGCGTGGAACTCCATCTCCTGCGGCAGCCCGCACGGGATTCCCTGCGCCATGCCCTGCGCCATGCCTTGCGACATGTACCCCAGCGGGCCCTTCGCCGCCAATATCGGGGAAGGCGCCGACATGCCGTGCGCGGCGTGCGGCGGCCAGCTCATCGAAAACATCTGCTGCGCGGACGGCGTGTGCGCGGTCGGGGGTTGCATTTGCGGCGGTTTGGGGAGGGCGGGTTGGGCGTGCTGCGGGAGCAGCCACTGCGCTTGAAGCGGTTGACGGGTTTGCATGGCGGTCATTTGCGATGGGTCTGCTGACATCATGCCGTACATTCCGGCGTTACCGCCAAATAACCTGAAACAGGGAGAACGAGGGGAGAGCAGCGGGGACTAAGCGCTTAGTGTCAAATACTGCGACGCGAAGCTGGGGCTTCCTGGCGCGGTTCACACCAGGATTAAGGTTGAAATGAATAAATCAGGAGGACTCATGACATGTAGCTGTAAGCTCGTAACGCTTACCGGCCGCCAGGAGCAGTCATAGGATTCCAGTTCCAAGCACCGCCGTACGCAGCAGCGGCATCGTCAATTTGCTGAGCACGCCACCTGGCGTCGAGTTCTTCCTCCGCCTCGGACTGAGCCGCGCCAGGAATTACATCAGGCGGCCGACACATGGTGGCTGACGGTAAAAAGGCCGGCAACGATAGAAATGGCGGTACGGACGCGGCCTTACGAGTGTTCTGAAGGTTTAACTTATGCTATGATACTAAGATCTTGGTCGGACCCTTCCTGACTTGTTGGAGGTTATGACTAGGCGATGCGATTGAACACTGGGCCAACAGGACGAAAGTAGAAGATTCACGGCGAAAATTGAAGGCAAGGCAAGTATATCCAGCAAAGCAGCAAGACAGCGATGCAGAGAGAGCCGTGGGGAAATGTAGGACGAGGTGGAGGTGAGGCCGAGAGAAAGCCAAGAAAGGCGAGGTACGTGGAGGAAACCGAGGGCTCAGCGCAAGCTTGCGAAACACGCGTGTGGGGGGAGGTTTTGTTGGGGGGGGCTGCGGGCAGCGGGTACAAGGAACACTGTAGGCGGAACATGAGGCCCAGTAGGGGGATGGTGCGCTGGGGCGGGGAGTCATGGAAGGGGAGGGGGAACCACTCGGAGATGGATGGAATATGGGTCGCGGGGGAGAGGGGGACCACTTTTGGGGCAAAAGGAAAGAGGGAGAGCGGGGTGTACAGTGTTGTCAAGTTGTCAGCTCAGCCCCTAGTCCTTGGGGAAGCGGGCGCCCTCACCGAGACAGCCTGGCGCGCAGCGGACCGGTCTCGGGAGGATCCTAATTGCCACTAGCACATCAATCACTATGGCGAATCTAGGCTAGCTGGCTTGGTGTCTAAATGTTTCAGTTAAAGCCGTGGCCCAACTATCAACTTCAACTTCAAAGTATTATAGCTTGGAAGAGGTTGACCCAGGCAGTTCAGAGCCGAGAAGTTTGTCCTCTTCTGGTTTTCCAGTTTTTTCGTCCAATAGAATTCAAGTTACTCACATGCCATTTTTGTCCCCCTACTGTTCCTAAGAAGTTGCACCCCGCCTTTAAATATGTTTCCCCGAATTTTTCAGTTTCATGTTTCACAACTGTGGCTGACACCCAGATGGTTTGTGTTCCGTTTTCTGAAACACGTGCCAGAGAAGGCACCGACGTAGTGGCGCTTGGTACTGTATCACATTTCAAAGGAATAGTGCACAAACGGTCAGTCGAAATGTGTTCCAGATATCACGTGGATTTGGAGAGCTCTTTAGAGACTGTTATCCGAGGCTCTAATTTTAATCCATGCCTCACTCCGGTTGGTTGTGATCGTGACGTGGATTTGTGCGCTGGAAAAGCACCATCACATTATGATGACGCTTGTCTGTACAGTACACCAACGATATGTCCAACCAGAATAACCAGCCAGCGGAACGGTCAGCCGCTGGACCTGTGCCCCCAAATAGTTAGGGCGAGTTTGGTCGGAAGGTCACATGCAGAAATTTTGAAGTTTGTGAAAGGAGCCAGTCATCTTTGCTCCAGTTCGCAACTCCCGAAACGAGACTGCAACTTGGCTCACGTTTCTGACAACCCCTCGATTTCAGAAATAACGGATTTATGTACTCAAAAGATAGAAAGTTTATCACAGTAAACCTCGCTAAAGCCATTCTCACTGTGAACGATCGTGAATCGTTGTTCTGGGTCCCAATGAGCTATGCATACATGACATTGAGGCAAAATTATTCATGCCTTTAGACTGAGGTGTATTCTGGTTCAGGAGCTATTTACACCGCATAGCGGAGCATGATGCAACGCACCACTTGTTCCCCATGAATCTCCACAGCCTTGGAACTGTCAGTTGTCTGGACTTCATTCCCTGTCAGACAACACAGATTCACCTATGGTATCAAGCACAGCTTGCGAGAGCCACGTTAACGAGTTCCGTCAACAAGCGAATGCTCGCTGCATTCCGTCTGAGCAGCCCGAATCGGCTCCTTGGATTAATCTGTCTAATCTCGAACGTCCGATACCACCAATTTCCACGGCGAGCCTTCCTGACATGGAGTCAATGCACGATCTTTCTGATGATACTTATGGAGAGCCAAGGCGCGTGTCTCTGGATGATTCCTATGGTGATCTTATAAAGAGGATAAACTGGACGTTTGGTCCGGGAACGAATTGCGGCGACCCGCCGAGGAGTAACTGGATGCTGGATAAGATGCTGAATACGCTGACGCCGAATCCCGTCGTGACATCTGGCATCGCGGAAAAGATGCAGGCGATGTCCACGTGGCATGCCGCTCCGGGAATCTCGGATTTAGAGTCGAAGATGCGGCAGGAGTGGGGGTACTGTTTGCCATCCACCAGGCCAGTCGCTCTCACCGACCTGTACCCTTCTCCGTGCATTCTAACCGAATGCAACTCCTACGTACACCTAGGAGCCAGTTTTGAGACGTCTCAAAGCTCGCAGATAGAAGCCACGGATCGCATGTTGGAATTCGGGAATCTCGGCTCGTGGAAGGGGAATCAGGCTCGGGAAGGATTGGGTGAGGGTGAAGGAGAGTGGAGGAGCGGCGAAGATAGGCCACCGAGTTCGAGGGACGATAGGATTGGACGCGGCAGCCGCGTGACTGCGCGGTGTGCTGACAGCGCGGATGATGTGGCGATGGCAGGAGGCGAGAGCAGCTGCAGCAAGGTGGGTTTTCTATGCTGGAATGATTCACACACTACCTGCTCCATGCCCGCCGTCACGAGATGCTGCAGTGGCATTGCACCACGCCTAGCATTCTACCTCAGCTCTGTACTGCCACTGCTTAGCCCAATCGCTTTCGTCCCTCCCAACTCCACTTCACTCCCCATCTTCTTCCTCTCCCTCTCTCCCGCGCAACCCCCCGCTTCTTTCCGCGTGCCAGCATCTGCACGCCCTCGCCCTCGTGGCGGCGTGCGCTCTCAGGGGGCAGCCCGCCGCCCTCTACGTCCTCCACGCCCTCCGCGCCCGCACCGCTGCACCCTCTGCTCCCGCAGTTCCCGCTGCTCCCACTAGCTCGCAGAAGAGAGATCCTGCAGCGGCAGCTGCAACAGCAAGAGTGGCGCAGGCCGTGTCAAGGCAGGGGGTTGAACAAGCAGTGCTGGGGGAGGTAGTGGCGGATGGGCACGTTTGCCGGAGACTGCACTGCCTCGCTGCACGACTGCAGGCTGCACCTGGTGTTGCGGACGCAGCAGCAGCAGCGTGGGCCGTGCCACGTGTGCCTGCTGACGTGGATTGCCAGCTGGCAAGTGTGTCGTGCCCGTTAGCTGCGTGCATGATGGTGCAGAAGGCGGCAGATGCGGGCAGTGCAGGTGGTATTGCAGGTGGTAACGCATGTGGCGATGCTGCTGGCGGAAATGTTGGCAGCGATGGGGAGGAGGGTTCAGACTGGGATTCAGAGAGCGGGGATGTGTGGGTGGGATGGACGGGCGGGGAGAGTGACGACGACGAGAGCGACGGGGGCGAGGAGGGGGAAGAGCGCGCAGAGAGTGCATTGCTTAAGAGCGGCATTCAACACCCTCTTCCCCCTCCTCAACACCAGCATGATCATGCCACTCCCAGGTCTCAGCGTGGAGAGCCAAGGCTAGAGCAGGGTAGCGCAGTGGGAGCAGGAGGGGCCGGTGCAGAGGGAGATGACGCGGTTCTGAGGGGTTTTGGGCGGGCGTTGTCGCTGGTTCTCGCTCAGTACGAGGCTGGGGTTTCCCAACTCGCCCGGACGTGCATTGCTGCTCTTTCTGCCTCACCACAGACACCAGCAGCAGCAGCTGACTACCCCAGCCATGTGCGCTCACTACTAGCAGCTGGTCCAGGCAGGGATGCAGTAGAAGAGGCAGACGTGGCAGCACCTGGTGCGTCAGATGCTGTGCTGCTGCTGGCCATGCGGAGCAGGCGACTGAGGGCGCAGCTGAGGCGCCTGGTGGTTCTGCTGGGAATGGATCCTGGAGTGAGGGAGACGGCAGGGGTTGAGATGAAGGGGCAGCCATGGGAGGACGGGGCGTTGAAGGGGAAGGGGACAGTAGTGGGTGAGATGGTTGATGCATGGTCGGTGGTGTATCATTGCCCTCAGATGCTCATGCCTAGCTCGTCAGATTTAAGCAGTTCAGGCATGCGAGGCATGCCGCTCACTCCACCCGCTGCACACATGCACCGCACGCCCCACACGCACCACATAGACCATGCTGTTGCTGCCAGCGGTGGCAGCAGAGGCGTTCGCCCCACCACGACCCACAGCAGCCAAGCCGCTGCACTCCTCTCTTACCTCCACACCATGCTCCACCTCGCAGCAGCGGATAGCAGCAGCCGCAGCAGCACCAGCACTTCCAGTGCACGTGGGCCAAGTCAGAAGCAGGAGCAACAGCGACAGCACCAGCAGAAGCAGCGGCAGCAGCAGCAGCGGCGGCAGGGGGGAGGCGATGGTTCAATGGAGGCAGTGAGGTGGCTGTTTGTGTCGTCGTGCCAGCCACTCGTGTGCCAGCTGAGGAGCACCATGGCTCTGGGTGACCTCTCCTCCCTGCATCCCTCCCTTGCTGCTGCTGCTGCTGCCACTGCTGCTGCTGCTGCTGGGAGTGCTACTGCTTTTCGGAGTGCTGCTGCTGCTGGGACTGCTAACCCTGCCACCAACATCACCGCCGCCACCACCGCCATCACTCATACCCCTGCTACCCCTGCTGGACAGTTCAGTCCTACTCGCATCGTCACTCCACGCATGGGTGCCCCATCTCATCTGGTCACCCCATCCCATCTGGTCACCCTATCCCATCTGGTCACCCCATCTCATCTGGTTACCCCATCGCACTCAATCACCCCATCACGGTTCGACACACCTCGTTTCCTGTCCAACCAGGCAGCAGCAGTCGGCGACGCGTGGAGTGCGGCGCTCTTCCTTCGTCCCAACAAGGTGCGTCCTCACTAAGCTAGCAATCGAAGGCAATGGACTTGGTTTTTCTCTTTTCTTTTTTGCTATTGTCTTGGTTATTTTGGAGTTCACCATCTCGCTTGCTCAACAACCAACCAAGGTCAACTCTGCATGCATTTTGAGTCGTTAGACTTTGCATGCATTGAGACTGATTCTTTTTAAACTTCGCAGACTACAGTTTCCAATCTCTGTGACAAATGTGAAGGTACCTGTGCCCTGTGCCCTGTGCCGTGTGCCCCATGCGTTTCGTCCCTCGCCCCTGCTCCCCCCCCTCTTCCCTTCCCCCACAACACCAGATCAAGCACCTGCTGCCCTTGTTCCTCCATCCAGTGTCACACCTCGTTGTAAGAACAGCACAGCAGCAGCATATACTCCTCTCCGCCCTTTCCCCCACCATCCGCCAACTCGCCTCCCGCCTCTCCTCCCTCCTCTCCTCCCTCCTCCTCCCCCACTCACACCCCTTTCCCTCTCCGCTAACCAATGGAGAGAAGCCACGTCACACTCAACCAGCTCTCGCGTCTGACTGGTCCATCGATTTCACCTTGGCTGGGGTGGCCCGAGCCAGAGAGATTGTCCAGCACCGGCTTGCCAAGGCTGAGCTGCAGGTTCGGCAGCTCCTAGACGCCATGGAGCCCCAGTCTGGTGCAGAAGGCGAGGCTCGGATGGCTGATGTAGGTGATGGGGTGGAGGTGCAGACGCAGTTAGGGTTGGGACTACAGTTGCTGCCCGCAGGGGCTGCAACGGATGTGGGGAATGGAACAGTTGTAGCAGCAGCAGAAAGAGCAGGAAAGGGAGCAGCAGTGGCAGTAACAGGCATGGGGTCATCTGTAGCAGATGTAGCTTCAGGCGGTTTGCTAGCTGCAGAAGCAGTAGCAGAAGCATCAGCAGAAGCGGCAGTAATAGCAGCAGCACCACTGCCACCACTGCGCCCCCCTCCTGGTGCTGTCAGGCCTGCACCCACCCACAGAGAAATCGCGGGACAAGCATTGGGGAGGGAGGAAGAGGAGCAGGGAAGAGGGCACGGGGGAAAGGAGCAGGGAAGAGGGCATAGGGGAAAGGAGCAGGGAAGAGGGCATAGGGGAAAGGAGCAGGGAAGAGGGCATAGGGGAAAGGAGCAGGGAAGAGGGCATAGGGGAAAGGAGCAGGGAAGGGAGCAGATCTGCTCTGGCTGTGGCTGGTCGCATGACCCCTCCTGGCACGTGCCTGGTGATGACGTGGCAGCAGATGATTGGCCATGGAAGGGCACTCATCCCCCTCCTCTTTCCAATCTGCTTGTCTCCCCCAACCGCACCACACCCAGCCATACTGCACCCAATCCCACCGCCCTCAGCCCCACGTTGCGACGGGCATGGGTGGAGGGCGGTGCCATGCTGCGGCTCACTGACCCCCGCTCTGGCCCCGCCTTCCCCTGGACGTGGATGGCCTGTAATGAGGATGCTTGTAGTGGGGATGGTTCTGGCGGGGGTGCGATTCATGGTGCTGGTGGCATCTCATGGCATGCATTGCTCCAGCATTCACGGAGGCATGGGGGGATTGCTGCTGAAAGTGCACAGGAGACAGGAAAGGAGGGTGTTGCTCCGGGAGAAAACAAAGGAGGAATTCAGGGAGCAAAGGAGAGATCAAAGGAGAGAGCAAAGGAGGAAAGGAAGGACGGCTCAAGAAAGGGAGAGGCAGGTAGTTGGGGGCGAAAGCAGAAGGGAGGTAAGGATGAGAGTGGAAAGCACAGCAGGAAGCAGAGTGGGAGGCAGACAGGGAAGCAGGGTGGGAGGCTGGGTGGGCAGCAGAGTGGGGAGGATCTGGGTGGAAGGCAGAGTGGGCGTGGAGGGGCGGCAGGGAGGGGAGGGGGGCATGTGACGGATGAGGAGAGGCGGCTGGTAGGCATGGCTGTCACAGAGATGGATGGGAGCTTCGATGATGCCATGCATGCCCACCTGCTGCTGCCCATCCGAGCAAGGTACAGTAGACTTCCCATCCAAGGATAGAACCATGCCAGGTGTCCACTTTTGTCCTGCAACCACCAGTGTGTGCTGCAAATGCTGTGGTGCAGGCAACCCAGCCATTGAACCATTCTCTCTCTCGTTTGCCCTCCGCTCTTTCCCCTCTTCCCCTTACCACCTCCCCCTCGACCATGCGTCCCCTGCCCCCCCCCCCACCAGTCACGCACTGGTGAGCAGGGCAGCAGTGCAGGTGCTGTTCACAGTGGGGCGCTACCGCGACCACTGCACCGCACTGCACCGCCTCTTCCTCTCTCCCCACCCCGCCCTGCCCTCTGCCCTCCTGCACGCCCTCCATGCCGTGGTGAGTGCCACATGCCACAGCAGCATCACGCCCTCTTCTGCCCTTCAATGCTGCCAGATTCAACATGCTTGCTTCTTCTTCTGTCCCCTCTACACCCTCTCCTATCCCCTCACCCCTCTCCCCTCTCCGCTCCCATCCCCTCCCCCGGGCCCTCTCCCCTCATCCCCTTCCCCGCAGGACTGGGCTGGCCTTCGCTCGCTACCAGAGCAGCAGCACGCGCTCTCATCCGCACTGGACACGGCCATCTCGCGAGCCTGCCTCTCCTCCCTGCCCTCCACCTCCCTCTCCCGCCTCCACACTTTCATCTCTCCCTCCTCCCTCTCCTCCTCCTCCCTCTCCTCCTCCGCCCTCTCCTCCATATCAACACCTCCACCTCACCCAATGTCGCCAGGGCAGGGAGGGGGGGGAGTGGGCAGTGCGAGCAAGCAGCTGACGTGGAGCCCTTTGTCTGCCCACCGTGAGTGCCTGGGTTATTGTAACAGTTGGGGCACTTTCTCAACCGCACTGCATCCCTCCCCACACCCATCACCCGAATCTGGTGCATGTTACGTTCTGCGAGTGCAGTACACTACTCGCCTGGGCATCTTCTCAGCCACACTACATCCCTCTGCGCCGCTCCCCACACTCACCATCAGGGCTGGGCGCGTTTGACTTTGTGCGGGTGGGGCACGACCCTGGCTGGCCCGCCAGCGTGGTGTTAACGCTGCCTCCTGATGCAGCAGCATGCGGACATGCTCATTAAACCGCACTGCATCTCTCTTTCCGCCCTCCACACACCCACCATCAGGGCTGGGCGCGTTTGACTTTGTGCGGGTGGGGTACGACCCAGGCTGGCCTGCCAGTGTGGTGATAACGCCCCAGCTGCTGCAGCAGTATGGAGACATTCTCACGGTGCTGCTCAGGCTGCAGCACGTGCAAAGGGCTGTTGAAAATATCACGCTTCATGTCAAGGTAAGCTACTTGTGAGACGCCTTAATAGCCTTTTGAGATGCCCCAAAAGCCTGCTACCGTTGTGATGACGCTGCTGCGGCAGTATGGGGTGGGGACACGCTCAGAATGGGGACACACTCAGTATGGGGACACGCTCAGTATGGGGACACGCTCAGTATGGGGACACGCTCAGTATGGGGACACGCTCAGTATGGGGACACGCTCAGTATGGGGACACGCTCAGTATGGGGACACGCTCAGTATGGGGACACGCTCAGTATGGGGACACGCTCAGTATTGGGACACGCTCAGTATGGGGACACGCTCAGTATGGGGACACGCTCACTGCGCTGATCAGGTCACGCTGCAGCACATGCAGAGGGCGAGTGGCAACCTTACCATTCACGTCAAGGTAGGCCACTCTTGGGACGCCTCGAAGGCCTGCCAGCGTGGTGATAACGCCCCAGCTGGTGCAGCATTATGGAGACATGCTCACTGCGCTGATCAGGCTGCAGCACGTGCAGCGGGCCATCAGTAGCCTCAGCATTCACATCAAGGTAGACCCTGGTTTATGACTTTCGCATTGGCACCATGTGCACACGGCAGAGATGGCAGCGGCAACATCAGTGTTCGTAACATGTCAATGCCCACCGCATGATACCAGTCGCTTCCCCTGACCTGACCCATCATGTGTTCTTTTCCCCGTCGGCCATTCTACGCGGGAGCATACCCTTGTGCTCCATAGCATATAAATTCATGCTGCATCATGCCGTGTCATTGCCGCATTGTGCTATTCCTATTGATACCCCTGCTTCCTGTCAGGTCCTCCGTTCAGCATTGTTGAACCCGTCGCTAGCACCAGCAGCAGAAGCAGCAGCAGCAGGCACGGCAGTGCACAGGGAGCGGTATCGGCGGCTGTGCTTCCTCAACGTCTTCACGTGAGAGCCCCTCCCTCGCCTGCTGTATCTGAGCTGGTCTGTAACCCCAGCATGCGCGCATTGCAACTGGTTTGGGGCGTTCTGGCCTTCATGAATCACGGGTGCTCAGGTGCACTGAGCAGCACTGCTTGTAAGGCAGCCACACCCTTCCCATCACTCACCGCTCCCTGTGTTCGTCCTCCTGCTCTCTTCCCCTCCTTTCCCCCATCCAGCACGCGTGCATCACAGCTGGTGTCATGCATGCTCGCCTTCATGAGTGCTCAGCTGCAGCGAGCAGTGTTGCTGACTAACCAGACCTTCCCCCCACACCCACACCCACACCCACACCCACAACCCCGCTTTCCTCCCATCCAGCATGCGTGCATCACAGCTGGTGGCGTGCATGCTCGCCTTCATGAGTGCTCAGCTGCAGCGAGCAGCGCAGCATGGGGACCAGATTCTGCTGCTGGGCACTCACGCAGAACACAAGCCCCATCTGGTGGGTCAGGGTATTCCATGGGTATAATATTGAGCAGCTTCAAACATAGATTCTCGCTTAATGACTGCTCAGATGCAGCGAGCAGTGCAGCATGGCGTTCAGATGCTGCTGCTGGGCACTCAGGCAGAGCACAAGCCCCATCTGGTGGGTCTGGGTGTTTGATTGGGCGAAACACAAGCGCTTAAGGTTGGGTGTGGACCATGGGCGAAACACAAGCGCTTAAGGTTGGGTGTGGACCATGGGTGAACCACATGGGTCGATTCTTGTGCACTTTGAGGGTTCTTTGCTTGACGTTTTGGGCAGTATTGCGCCTGCTTCGATCATTTATGCTCCTTGTTTCGCCTCTCTGCCACTTTTTTTTTTCCTCTATCCATAATCCCTCCCTTGCCGCTTCCCCTGTCCCTCCTTCCCTTGCTCCTTCTCCGCTTGCGCCACCTCACAGGACCTATTCTCATTCCAAGAGGCACATGCACAGTTTCTGATATACTGCACAACCAGGTAGCCCCTCCTCCCGCACTCATACACCCAGTTTGCCTATACCCAAAGTTTCTTTATCTTTGCATATAAATAAATATAAATATACCTTGCTGTGTGTCACGGCAGGTGCCTGCTAGACACTCGAAGTGCGCCCATCAGGGAGCGCCTAGACAGCCTGCTGCAGCTGGTGCTGGATGTGCATCGCAGTGTGGCCTCTGCCCCCATGGTCGCCCCGCTCTCCGAGTTCTTTCTCGATGACGATGCTCCCATCTGGGAAGAGGTGAGGAATTCAGTTTCCCTTGAGAGAGACACTTCTGAATAGACAGCCTGCTGCAGCTGGTGCTCGATGTGCATCGCACTGTGGCCTCTGCTCCTATGGTCGCCCCGCTCTCTGAGTTCTTCCTTGACAACGATGCCCCCATCTGGGAGGAGGTGAGAGCTCTAACATTTCTAGTTCCCTGTGCCTTTCGTGCTCACAGGCTATCTGCACTCAGATATGATGTTAGGATGTGTAGTTATGTGCGCATGCCTGCTCTCTCACTCCATGTGTAGTAGTCTGTGTGCACCATTAGTTGCACTGACTCGTATCTACACTGCGCTGTAGCCAATGGGAGTGTTGTTTCTTTGCATGTGATTCTGCTCGTTCTCACAAACTCCGTGGCTTGTTTGTGCTTGTGATGGGTGGCGTGTACGTGGAAGAGCATGTCGGAGAGTTCAACGAGGCTCTGAATGAACGTTTATTTTTTATTCTGTCAGAAAACGTTATCATTAATACATATTCTTTGCTTGCTTGTGCTTGTAATGGGTGGCATACAGGTAGAGGAGCATGTGGGAGAGTTCAACCAAGCACTGAATGACTCCCTGGATTTTCTCTCGCGGAGGCAGGAAGTTTCTCGTCCTGAAAAGCACCTTCTCAAATACCTCAGTTTCCTCAAAATCAAATAGATCAGACATGCCACGTGGCTACATCTTTTTGTGCACTTATTTTGGTGTAATCCCTCTTGCTTTCTTGTATATTCCATTTCAACGAAGAAGTTAACTAATAACCAAATATGAGCTTATAGCGCATACTAGGTGCACGTGCATATTTCCTCCACCTCCGCGCGCGTGCGTGACCTAAGTGCATCTGACGCGTAGTTACGTTCCCCTTCGTTCTCAATCACCATTCATACCCATTCCCGATCGAATGACGCGGCGAGATTCAACAATGGCAAGCTACAGCTATGGCACAAGCAGCAGCATCGGCGGCAGCAGCACTAGACGAACGCGAGTGCAGCAGCTTGAGCGACTTCAGGTGTGCGGGACATTACACGGTTGCACCATCAGTTCCGTCTCATTCGGTTTTCTCAAATCTCGATGCTCCCGTTTAGAATTCGCGCTTTCACTTCCCTCGTTTCCACGTACTAGCCCCACTCATCCCCCCTCCTCGCGTCCATCGAAAGTTAGAATGAGCTGTCAATCTGCCGTCCATCCCGCCCGCCTACTAGGAGCTGTCGCGGCTGCGGAGGAGTCTCTCGGGAGGCAAGGCTGTCAGCTCAAATCCCATGGCTGAACCTGCAGGCTCGGCAACCCCAAGGATGCCTGAAGACTCGGCAATCCCAAGGACGTCTATAGGCTCGGAAGTGAAAGAGGGGATGAGGCGGCGGATCCAGCTGGATCACCCATGCGGGGAAGCATCGGGGGAGGGCAGAGATGGGGAAGGTAGAGCAGGGGAAGGCAGAGCGGGGGAAGGTAGAGCAGGGGAAGGCAGAGCGGGGGAAGGCTGTAGAGGCAGAAGCGGGACAGATGCACAGCCCGGGAGACAAGGGGTGTGCGCAGGGCCTGGGGGGTTTGGTACGGCTGGGGTGGGCGACACAGTGCCAGCGCGGGAGGATGCAGAAGTAAGGTGCGGCAGAGTGCAGGAAATTCGTGGTGCACAGCGGTGTAGCGAGGCGCAGATGGTGGGGTTCTGTTTGCGAGGCGAGGATGCAGTGAGAGGTGGGGGAGTGGGAGGCCGTCCGTTGGTGGTTGCGGTACCTGTGACGAGCAGGCAAAGCACAGGCAGAACAAACACAAGCACGCGCATGGACATGAGCGTGGGGATGAGCATGCAAATGAGCATGGGGCGGTTTCAAGGCACCCCTCACGGCACATTGGGGAGGGAGGTAAGCAGCTGTGAGGCGTCCTTTGAATCGTCTCAAAAGTTGGCATAGGATCAGCCCGTGATTGTCAGTTGTGGGTGTTTTGTTCGTGCGGTTTGCTCCGTTTATGTTGGGTTGTGTACATGTGTTGGTGCTCATGTGCCCTCATGCTTGCACCTTCTCTCCCCGTCACATGCTGCCCATCTTCTCATACTCCCGCCTCCTGTGTGCTCCCCATTCTCCTCATGCTTGTCACATGCGTCTATATGCTCCCCATACCCCCCACATGCTCCCACGTGCTTCCCAGACAAAGCTGCTTACCCCTCAAGCTAGACCGGTTGGATATGGCTCTACGGTCTGGTGACCATGCTTCTTATGCTCACGTACTCCTCACGTGCTTCCCACACAAAGCTTGATCGCAGGTTTGGGCCGGCGTTACAGCACGGCTACCATGCTTCTTATGCTCGTCTCCCCGCGTGCTCCCCATGTGCTCCGCATGTGCTCCCCACGAGCGTCCCAGACAGAGCTGGACTGCAGGTTGGAGGCAGCCCTACGGTCCGGTGACCACACAGCAGCGCTGCGGGTGAACGGGGCGATTATGAGAAGGGAGAGCGCACGCTGGCAGAGACAGGCAGAATTGGACACGCAGCTTGCAGCGAGCTTGCAGGTGAGCAGACGGGCAGAGTGAGTGGCACGTGCAGCTTAAGGCTGTTCAATGATTGCTGCAAAAGTAGCTTCAACGTTTCTGTAACAGGGTCTTGCAAGCAACCCTTAGGCTTGTTGGCAGCTTTCCTCAATGAACCTGCACCCTTTGCATTGCCACAGGAGCAGGAATCTGTGCGGCGCAAGAAACGGCAGCGGCTGAACTGGGGGTGAGATCATTCATTCATTTTAGCTGGTCATGGAAAAGCTTTTCGCTTTACAAATCAGTTTACATCGTGCTTCTCTGTGCTTTTTTTTTTTACTAACCGAATGGTGCTTGTGCAGGATGTATGTGCTGCGCAAGTCAGAAGGAAAGGGCAACATGTGAGATATTTTGGTACTTGTAGGCTACACATATTATAATTGATCGCCATTGTAACATGTCTTGTACTGTATGGAAGTTTTTCAGGCCAATTAATACAAATATGTCACTCGCAAAGCGAAGCTTTCCGCGACGGGTATGGTCACGTTCGAGGAATCGGAATGAAGCCACGAAAAAGTGCCCCATATATAGACGGCTGCGATGAATCAAAAAAGGAACTTGCCTCCTCCGGTCGACAGTTGTGAGCCTACGCGATTCGACCAAATGTTGGGAGTGAAATTGGCGCTTCGAGAATTCTACAATCCAATTTCCAGCCTGAAAGTTTGACCAACCAGTACTGTAGCAATGCATTTCATGTCCAGCAATCCCCCTAATGCCAAGCCAACATTCCATTCCATGTTGTTTGCTTCACACATGCTCTGCTTTACTTTACCGTCGCGTTGACCGCCTATCTACCATCTCTCGGCGGCCTTCTCTCTTGTGGAGATACGTTCCTCTTTCTCGCATCCTTCGACAGTTAATGTCTATTTGAAAAGGCTTCGAAACTGCAACCCTGAAATGGACACGCTATCAGCGACAAGACTCAGTTGTCCAAAATCGACGAGAAGCCTTATCGATGCTTCCCAGGTCACAGCGGCGCAGGTTAAACCATGCGGATTGGTCCAGAGAGCCACTACTAGGCTTACCAAGTGTGGGTCACCCCAATGGCGGTGCCGCATAAGTCACGGAAGCGTTAACTGTAGGTCCTCTGGTGCAAGAGCGAACAGGTCCGCCGCCGTGACCGCCGCGACCGCCGCGACCGTGGTGGCGGCACGGGCGAGGTTCTTTTCGAAACGCTTTCGAGCTCCTGATTGCGCGTCATCGGTGTGGCGGTCCGCCGCGCTGCGCGGGCATACGACGCGGCTCGAGCGAGGCGGTAGCGGGCCGCGCGGAGTTACAGTGACGGCCACGTGTAAGCCGCTCGATGGGCGGGAAAGGGGACACCTCCCGGGGGAGGACGACCGGCGACGGGGAGAAGTTGCGGGGAAGAATGTGAGGTGGTTGGATGAGCACAACGGAGGATACATTGGAGGGACATAGACCTTTGCGCACTTCTCGCCCTTCCCCCCCTGCGAGACACAGCGTCGTCCGTGCCTTCACGGAGCTCGCACCGTCCAACCAATATCCCGTCCCCACCTTCTCCCCTTTTCCCCGCCTCTCCCGCCTCAACCCCATTCCCCTTCCCCCTCCCCTCACCTTCTTCCCCCCCCGCTCCCCGCGCTCCGCCTTCCCCCGTCCTCCAGGGGACGTGGTGAGTCGCGGCGTGGACCGCGCGTTCACGGAGCTGGCGGAGTTGGACCAGTCGCCCGGGAGCGACGGGCGGCAGGTGATCAACGTTCCCGAACTCTACACCGGCATTCTCATTGTGTACGAGTGAGTGCTGATTTGCGTTCGAGTGAGTGTTGCTGGAGTACAAGTGGTGCACTGGAGTACGAGTGGTGCACTGGAGTACAAGTGGTGCACTGGAGTACAAGTGCTGCCTGGAGTGCTCGCTCTGGTTGTGCTCTCCCAGCTTCAACCATTACATCTCTCCTCCCTGATCGCCACCTGGCCATGCAAACGTTACATCTCCCACAGCAACGTGAATTCGCTCGTGCCGGGGATGCACATCAGCCCGCCTTCCAAGAAGCAAGTTGTCCAGCTCGTACAGGTACTTCTGTTCTGTACATGATCTGAGGATCTCATTATATCTTGTCCATATCTGAGGCACTGGCAAAATCGTCTCGTTTACCTCTTCCCTCTCGTCCCATCGCACCCATTCTCGTCGTAATTCCCGTTCACAATACCACCATCACGCGCTTTTGAGAGGACTTAGAAGCTGTCTTGCCTTCCCTCTGACGCCTGCTCTCTCGTTCAGGATTACGACATAAACCACGACGGCGTGTTGGACAGGAAGGAGTTCGGCGAACTCGTGCGACACTTCGCACGCACCGTCGTGGCGCGAGTGCTGCTCAACCTCGTGGTCATCTTCTCGCTCGTGCCCTTGCTTGTGTCGCTCGGTCAAAAGCTCGCGGAAAAGGTTGGCTGGAAATTGCCCGAAGCAATAGCGGCAACCCTGTTCACGTTGCTTATAAAAATGACAGGAGTGTGATGTAATATATTTACAAGCCAAGTGCTTGTGCTGTATAGAAGTGATAAGCTCTTCAGTAATTGTGCTGACTAGAGGGGGAGGTTAGAGTGGCATGTAACGGATTTGTTTACAGATGCTCTAAAGATGATTACAGATGCTCTAAACTCCCGTACCATGTAGTTAAAGCTCGCGTCTCCAATTACACCCTTCCATCCAAGTGTTAAACGCTTGATATAGGGTAACAGACTGCTTTGTCGCAAAGTACACCCAGGCAAGGGTTGAGAGTCGGGAAAGTGTGGGTGGGGTGGTTTGGGTTTGCAACGTGCACTGTAATTGGGTGAGCAAATACGCCAAAGCAGGTTGGGTTGGCAAACTCACCTGCGCGACAAACAAAGCTGAGAATGCGCTCATCGTGCGACAACGGGACCGTCGCCCTCTCGTCCCTGCAAACCAAGCGTTTTACACAGCTCAGAAATATGAGACTGGGAACTCGTCAATATCTCAAAAGGCACTCTGCACCAAGTGTTTTACCTCCCTGGACACATGTCCCCGACTGGAGCACGACGAACGCAAAGTGGTTAGAAAGCCTCACCCAAAACCTCGATGCCCCACACTTCGTATGCCCATCACGACCTACACTGCTACAATCTCATTCGCATTCGACAAAAACGCGACCTGTCATAGACTATAGACCGCCATCTCTATCCCTAGACAATCCACAGCCCACGCCGCGCTGCCCCGAACCGGCTTTCATCGCCCAAACGCCCGACCCTTGATTAGGTGAGCCTAATCAATTTGCGGGAGATTACCCCGCCAGAAATGTGGGCCCCTAGAATCGCGTCGACATCGTAGGCCCGCGCAGTACGAGGCCCTTACGAGCACTAAGTGAACGGCTGTAGTGTAATAAGTGGCCTTACACGGCCTAATGAGAGGCGTTTTGAGCGGCGTAACGGGGGGCGAAACTAAATACGGAGTAAGGAGAGGCGCAATGAGAGGCAGAATTAGACTTGGCGTGAGAGGCGGAATCTGCGGCGGAATGAGAGACGCACTGAGAGGCGGTGTGAAGTGTGGAAGCAGGGGCGGAATTATAGGCGGAATAAGAGGCGGAATGTGAGGCGGAATGAGAGGCGGAAAAAGAGGCGGAACGAGAGGCGGAATGAGAGGCGGAACGAGAGGCGGAACGAGAGGCGGCGTGAGAGGCGGGATGAGAGGCGGATTGAGAGGCGGGATGAGGCGAATAGATAGGCGTAATGAGAGGCGTAATGAGAGGCGCAATGAGAGGCGTAATGAGGGGCGGAAAGAAACCCGGAATGAGAGGCGACGCGAGAGGCGGAGTGAGATGCGGAAGGAGGGGCGGAATGAGAGGCGGAAGGAGAGGCGGCTTGAGATGCGGAATGAGAGGCGGAACGGGGAAGGGAGGAGCCGCGAGAGGGGGAAGGTAGGAGGTGCGAGAGGGGGAAGGGAGCTGCTGTGGGTGGGGGAAGGGAGGAGCTGTGAGAGGGGGAAGGGACGAGCTGTGATATGGGGAATGGAGATGCTGTGTGTGGGAAGTGAGGAGCTGTGAGAGGGGGAAGGGAGATGATGTGGGTGGGGGAAGGGAGGAGCTGTGAGAGGGGGAAGGGAGGAGCTGTGAGAGGGGGAAGGGAGATGCTGTGGGTGGGGGAAGGGAGATGCTGTGGGTGGGGGAAGGTAGGAGCTGTGAGAGGGGGAAGGGAGGAGCTGTGATAGGGGGAAGGGAGATGATGTGGGTGGGGGAAGGGAGGAGCTGTGAGAGGGGGAAGGTAGGAGCTGTGATAGGGGGAAGGGAGATGCTGTGGGTGGGGGAAGGGAGATGCTGTGGGTGGGGGAAGGTAGGAGCTGTGAGAGGGGGAAGGGAGGAGCTGTGAGAGGGGGAAGGGAGATGATGTGGGTGGGGGAAGGGAGGAGCTGTGAGAGGGGGAAGGGAGGAGCTGTGATAGGGGGAAGGGAGATGCTGTGGGTGGGGGAAGGTATGAGCTGTGAGAGGGGGAAGGGAGGAGCTGTGAGAGGGGGAAGGGAGGAGCTGTGATAGGGGGAAGGGAGATGATGTGGGTGGGGGAAGGGAGGAGCTGTGAGAGGGGGAAGGGAGGAGCTGTGATAGGGGGAAGGGAGATGCTGTGGGTGGGGGAAGGTATGAGCTGTGAGAGGGGGAAGGGAGGAGCTGTGATAGGGGGAAGGGAGGAGCTGTGATAGGGGGAAGGGAGATGCTGTGGGTGGGGGAAGGTAGGAGATGTGAGAGGGGGAAGGGAGGAGCTGTGATAGGGGGAAGGGAGATGATGTGGGTGGGGGAAGGGAGGAGCTGTGAGAGGGGGAAGGGAGGAGCTGTGAGAGGGGGAAGGGAGATGCTGTGGGTGGGGGAAGGGAGATGCTGTGGGTGGGGGAAGGTAGGAGCTGTGAGAGGGGGAAGGGAGGAGAGGACAGAGGTGGGGAGAAGGTGCACTGAGAGGGGGAAGGAGGAGAGGACAGAGGTCCTGTGAGAGGGGGGAGGGAAGGTGCTTAGCGATAGCACCGGGTGTGAACTTGTGGTGAGGCATACGCACGAATGCTCTCCATCCTTCCTGTCTCCGTACCCACCTCCTCACTCCCCTATCCCTTTCCCGCGCCTGGACCCGTTCCCGCTCCTCCCAAACCATTCCCCCATTGGGGGGAATAATATCCCATTCTTATTTTCCACTGCTCCCTCTCATCCCCCCCCTAGTGTCCCATCATTTTCCCCTGGAGTCCCTCTCATTTCACCCTTTGTTACCCCTAATTTTCCCTATGGGAGGGAGGTGCTGTCAGAAGGGGAGGTAGGTGAGCAGGTAGGGTGAAGATACGTGATGATGGAGGGGGGAGGGACATGAGGTGAGAGGGTGGAGGGAGGGGAGGTGAGTGGTGGAAGATAGGTGAGGAAGGGGGAAGGGTGGTGAGGTCAGAGGGGGGATGGGATGTGAGGGTAGGGGGAAATGAAGGTGAGTTCAGAGGGGGGAAGGGAGGTGCTGAGAGACGGGAGAGAAGGTGTTGGGAGGGGGGCAAGAGGTGCTGTCAGAGGGGGAAAGAGGTGATTTGAGAGGGGAGAGTTAAGTGCATAGGGAGGGGGAAAGGACTTGATTTCATATGGGGAATGTAGGCAAACAGGGGAGGGGAAAAGGAAGGTGAGGTCAAAAGGGGGGAATGAAGGTGCGTGGAGAGGGAAAAGAGGGTGCGGGCAGTGGGTTAGGAGGTGATGGGTGAGTTGGAAGGGGGGTGCGGTGCGGTCAGAGGGGCAAGATAAGTGCACGAATAAAGAGGAAAGGAGTTGAGGCACGCGGGGTAGAGGGTTAGTGGTGACGCTGGCAAGGGGGGAAGAGGTGATGTGAGAGGGGAACAGAGGTGCTTAGGGAGGGGGGTCTGGGGGTGGGAAGGGTGGTGCTGGCTGGGGCAATGCAACGATGTGAAATGCGGGCTGGGGCGGTGCAACGATGTGAGATGGGGATGAGATGTGCTTAGAGAGGGGGAAGCGAGGTACTGTCATAGTGGGAAGGGAGGTGAGGACAGAGGGAGAAGGGAGGTACAGTGACAGGGGGAAGGTTGAGAGGACAGAGGGGGGATGGTAGTGCAGTGAGTGTCGGAGTGGAGGTGCTGAGAGAGGGGTAAGTGAGGTGCTGATAGAGGGGAACGAGAGGTGCTGATAGAGGGGAACTAGAGGTGCTGATAGAGGGGAACGAGGTGCTGATAGAGGGGAACGAGAGGTGCTGATAGATGGGGGAGGGGGGTGCTGACCTCCGAGACATAGGCGGTGTCGGAGAGGGGAAGCGAGGTTCTGACTGGGGGGAATGCAACGATGGGAGAGGGGGAAGAAAGGTGCCTAGGGAGGGGGAAGGGAGGTGAGGTGAGAGGGGTGAGGGAGGTTCTGTGAGAGGGGGAAGGGCGGTGATGTGAGAGGGGGAAGGGAGTGGCTGGCCGGGAGGAGTTAGGCGGTGACCGAGGGGGGAAGGCCGGTGAGGGGGAACCGAGGCGGGAAGGGAGGTTTAGGCTGGGGGGAAAGTGGTGACATGATAGGAGGTAAATTGGTGGTTATGGGTGTATAGTCCGAGGTGGGATTTGGGTGGTGACTGGGTACTTCTAGGGGCGGTGACATCTGTCGTGAGTAACGGCACAACCTAACGCGCATGTCCTTTTATTGTGCCTCTGCAACCCGTCACCATCCCATCAGGCCTTTCACCACAACGCCATTCCGACTGGTGGCTTTCAACTGACGGACATTTGCGCATCGTGTCGTAATGGCACCAAGGTGAGTGGTACGGGTTGTGTGAGGTTGCGTGTAGCACAAAAGCCATACACCAGCATATGTAATGGACATGTGATCGTAATGGCAGGCGATCCAAGAACAAGGGAGAGACTTTGCAGCAGCAGCTCAAAAACATTATGGGGGGTGTCAAGCAAAGGCCAGTGGGGCTTGGGAAACACACTGTCCTGCCCGTAACCATTATGCGCTGCGGTTTATCGGCACTGATGGGGAGGGAGGCATCGTTCAACGACGTGCTGCACGTCCTCATGGTTTCGGCCTGGGATGTCGTTGTGAAGCTAATAAATGCAACAACTGATACTTGTAAGTGGCACCTTGGAACAATTGTGCATGGATCAAAACCAGCTAACACTTGCAAACAACCCACTAACATGCCCAAACCACGCCGTTTATGGTAGGTGGGAATGGCGACATGGTGAAAGAACAGGTAAAGTTACAATTGGAAGCACAGCGAGCAAGCTTCCTCGTGAGCCAACCGGGGGAAAAGGCGGACGAGGCGCATCTGCTCCAGAGGATGCCGAAGTCATTGGACGGCTTCGTTTATGAGTTCGATACATACCATCTCAACAAGGAGGGTGTGCTTGAGCCGGATAATGGACGTGGCCACGGAGGTGACCGTCGCGGACCGGCATATCAAGCACTAAACAATGCTGGTATGTCCATGTCACGGGGTGTTGTACACACCATTTCTTGAGACGTTTCGCTGGCATACTGTCGCGCTTTCTGTTTTGTTCAATTTGTCGCACGTCACCCTGCATCTATATGCACTGGTCGAAAGACGTGCGACTGGTCTTATCCATGTTGTGTGTCTCACAACACGCAATGACCCCCTGTTTGTAGGGGATTACTTCGAAATCCAATTATTTTCCCGTGCCCTTATACCCATTTACCCATATGCCACGTATGGTCATTAAACTGCAGTTGCAAGAGGAGATCATGATATGAGTGGCAACGGAGGATCACCCGTTACGGATTCGCCACCCGTGGGATGTGAGACTGCTGTGGCGGAGTTTGCCCCGGTGGACGATGAGGGGCATGTGGAAGAGGGGAGAGAGTTGGGAGAGGGGGATGGCCCCGTTGATGATGGGCAAGAGGAGGGGGAAGGTGCTGGAAGGGCATCCGTGCCAGATCGCCCGAGCGATGGGGCAACTGCATCTACTCCTGCAATCCGGCCCCAACCTGATGGGTAAGTGCGCCTATGTAGAGTCGATGGGTGTGTGGCCTCCTTCAAAAGCTTCCCAAGCTTGACTTGGTATAATGCTAGCAACTTCATCCATTCAATAAACACTCATCGAATCTACACATCATCCGTTGATAAACATCCCTAGCCAGCTGAGTTTGTGGCCTCTACCCTAAACTTTCCAAAATTGTGATGGCATTTTCAATTCGACCCCACCACAGCTTATCAGCGGGCCGTGCAGGAGCACCTCTCCGAAGGGCTCTCGCTCGATCATGGCCTCTGTCGGCCAACGCTGCTGCAACTAGCCTCAAAGGGGCGGTATGTCTGTTAGACCCCATTGTATTGCTACAATTCTTCATGAGTCTGGGAGTGGTCTGCTGTCAGGCGACCGCGTGTAAGGGTTCGTTGGTCGTGCGATCGTGTAAGATGGCGTGGGCGACGTTGGGGGTCTTGTGGGTCTGTGATACGTGTGGAAAGTCTATACAGTTTTGGTCTACTGAAAGGGGCAAAGTCACCAGGGGTGTAGGCAAACAGGGCCCAAATGTCAGAATATTATGCTCTAGCCTGTAGTGGGGTGCTCTATAGCGAGTACAACCCTTCTAGGGTTTGCTATTTGTATCCTCATTCTTGCTAGTGCAACCCTCCTTCTTCTTTTTAAACTTTCACATGCTATCAGAGCAGGTCGATCCCCTTGGATCGATCCTGTGGGTGGGCTCACCACCTCGTTGCTTCCGCTGCAACTTCCACTACTACCTTCTGTGCCGCACGCCCCGTGGCGTGCGGCAGTTTTTCTTCCCGCCGTGCGCCCCGAGGCGCGCGGCGGTTTTCTGCCCGCCGTGCGCCCCGTGGCGCGCGGCGGTTCTCTGCCCGCTGTGCGCCCCGAGGCGCGCGGCGGGCTTCTACCCCGTCACTCGCCGCGTCGCCCTCGGGAGGCGCTGCGACGGGCGACGGGGACCCGCGCGTCGCCCCCCGTCGCCCGTCGTGGCCTGCGCGCGGCCCGTACAGCCGGCGCGCGGCCCGTACGGGCTGCGCCAGGCCTGCGCGCGGCCCGTACGGGCTGCGCTAGACCCGCGCGCGGCCCGTACGGGCTGCGCCAGGCCCGCGCGCGGCCCGTACGGGCTGCGCCAGGCCCGCGCGCGGCCCGTACGGGCTGCGCCAGGCCCGCGCGCGGCTCGGGCCGCCTGCGCGCGGTTCGGGAGGCTGTGCCAGGCCCGTGGGCGGCCCTTTCCTCGCTGCCCCTGCCCTCCCCGTTGTCCCCCGTGCTTCTGCTGGCGCCCCACCCCTCCTACAGCCCGTTCTCCTGAATTAGGGTTTGGGGGTGAGGGGTATGGGGGTGAAACTACTGTGTGCCGTTCCCTGCTCCTCCTCCTCCTCCGTCTCCCTGTGCTGCAGCTGCCGCTGAGGGGGGGTGGACTTGTTGGAGCCGTTGGAGTGGTGCTAAGGGGGGGTGAAGGGGGAGTGGAGCTAGCGGTGTAGCAGCGGGTGTGTGTCAGGAGGGGTGGTACTGTTTGGGGGAGGTCGAGTGGAGGCAGCAGTCTTGTCGTCAGCAGCAGCAGCAGTCCGGAGGCTACAATCTCCGGTAGTCGCCAGTCGCCCGTGGGTCCGTTGCTCGTCTGCCGCTACTTTTAGCCGCGGGGCCAGTTACCCCAGTAGTCCGGAGCGTTGTTCCGGTAGCCACTGAGCCAGCAGCTCGTCTGTGTGTCTGCAGCGTCAGCAGTCGCCTCCCATCTTCTCTCCCCCACAGTCTCTCCTCCTCCTCACTTGCCCTCTGCGATAGCCTCTAGCTTTGCTCATAATTGTGAACTTTAAACTATTGCTTCTTGAACTTGTGCTCAGAATGTGTGGTGACATTGTGATCCACCCTGAGCTTGTACTGCTGTGCTTGCTCTGCTGATTACACCCCACTTTGGCTATGGGGGTGTGTCAGAATATTATGCTCTAGCCTGTAGTGGGGTGCTCTATAGCGAGTACAACCCTTCTAGGGTTTGCTATTTGTATCCTCATTCTTGCTAGTGCAACCCTCCTTCTTCTTTTTAAACTTTCACACCAAAGACCTCCTTACTATTTCCGCGGTGGTTGGGGGCATTTGTTATGGCGGGAATAGGCTTCCAGCAGCTGTCGGAGGTTAGTCGGACCCTTGGGTTTAAGTCTATCGGGAAAGAGACCTTCTATCGTTACATGCGACAGCCGTACGGTTTGTGGGAGGCTATCATCGTCCACGGGGAAGAGAGCATGGCTAGAGCCCGTGCAGACATGCAGTTGCGCAAAGAGGGGGATGGGTACATTTGCATGGATGGGCGTTGGTGACAGGCAAGGGAGGCGCAGTGGTGCACTGTCACTTTCATGGATCCACGGTCATGGAAGATGCTGTTGACTGTCACCGTATGCAAAAAAGAAGAGGGAAAGTCATCGACAGAGTTAGAAAGGGTTGCATTCAAGCTTGGCTTGGCGAAATTGAAAGAGTGGGGATTCAATGTGACTGGGATCATAAGTGACGATGGAGGGTCATTCAAAAAGGCGTTAGTTGGCACGGGTATCAACCATCAAATGGACGTGTGGCACAAAGGTCGAGCATTGACACGACTGTTTGTGAAGGCCTTTGTGGAGGCACAAGTGGGTACTATGACAGTGGATAAGGCCAAGTCATGTTCCGAGTTGTGGTCGGTCACACAGAAGGAGTTGTGGGAGTGGTTGACGCTAAAGGGAGGTGTGGGGAAAGGTGTGAGTTCGCGGTCCGCTAAAAAAACACTGATCAGCCATGTGTGTGCGAAATTGGGGACGATTCAGTTTGATGCATCGGCAAAGGCTGCTGAGAAATGGGCATTCTTGGAGATGAGGAAAGTGTTGAAGGTCCGGGCGAAGCCGGTTGAACCACCGGCCAAACGACGAAGGGGCTTGGAGCAAGAGGAGGGGATGGAAGTGCAACATGAGCATAGTGGAGGGGGGGGAGAGAACGGTGACGTCGGTTCAACACCCCATGATGTCGGTGCTTTGGGTGGGGAAGCAGATGAGGTCTCTCGGATTCTGGGGATCAAGTGGGGCGACGTTGATACACCATTTGATTTTGATCCGCATCCCACGCATGCCGCCCGGGACGACATCACCCACGATTTCATCAGAGAGTCGGCGGAGTCTATGTTCAGCCTAAAGGACATCGAGATGATGACACGTGGTGAGTTTGCATTCCAACAGTTGCAAATTCCATTTCGCAGATGAATGAATACTTTGTCTCTAATGTGTTGCACATTTTCTTGAACACATTCAGGCGAAGTGGAGTCAGGCGATCCAGAGATGGGGCGAGATCGGCAGGCGGGGGAGCCTGTAGTGGCGGGAAAGCCTGGAGTGGCGGCGGAGCCTGGAGTGTCGGGGGTGCCTGAATCATCAGAGGAGCCTGGAGTGGCGGAGGAGCTTGGAGTGGCGGAGGAGCTTGGAGTGGCGGGGGAGCCTGGAGTGGCGGGGCAGCCTGGAGTGGCAGAGGAGGCTGGATTGGCGGGGGAGCCTGGAGTGGCGGAGGGACCTGGAGTGGCGGGGGAGCCTGGAGTGGCGGAGGAGCCTGGAGTGGAGGGGGAGCCTAGAGTGGCGAGGGAGCCTGGAGTGGCGGAGGAGCCTGGAGTGGGGGGGGTGCCTGGAGTGGGGGTCGAGCCTGGAGTGGCGTGGGATCCTGGAGTGGCGAAGGAGCCTGGAGTGGGGGGGGTGCATGGAGTGGGGGTCGAGCCTGGAGTGGGGGGGGAGGCCCTAGAGACTAGGGAGTGTGGTTCATCGGAGGAGCCTGGAGTAGAGGGGGAGCCTAGAGTGGCGAGGGAGCCTGGAGTGGCGGGGGAGCCAGTAGTGTTGGGGGAGAAAGGCGTGGCGGGGGAGCCTGGACCGTTGGAAAATGCCGCTTCACGTCGTACCCCAAGGTGGCAGGAAAGGAAAACTGGGAAGCGGAAATGTGCTCAAGAGGGGTGTAGCAGTGAGGACACGGAGGGTGAAGTGGCCGATGTGACTGTTGGTCAGCGCTTCTGTATTCATTTCCACCATTGCATGATGCGCGCTGCAACAAAGGCAGAAGCAGGTCATCCAATGACTCCCCAAGAAGTGTCTGATGAGATTGGGGGGTGCGGAGACCATTGGGCGGGCATACACGCTGGTTGTCAGCGTGATGGTGTGGTCCCACGTTGTGTTAGGGAAGGTTGGGGGGAGGAAAGTGCGCTGTATGAACCGGGTTCAGCGACACACAAGGCGTTCAAAGAGTGGTTGTCCGTCCATTGTGGGCCAGGTCCCATGGCAGCATACGTGTTAGGTGCATCAAACTGGATGAACGAGTCATTTCACTCGTTGATCACGAAGTACGCGCCGAAACGTATAGCGTTCCTTGGCAGTATGCCGGCTCGGGTGGCGTTGAGTGTGCTGCACTGGAATCACGCGGTGGAGAGGGTTGTTAGGGAGTGGCGGACACGCGTACGCAAGGTAACACGAGTGCGGCGTGGGACGAAAGATCGGGTGCTTGGTCCGATGGATTGGCGTTGGGTGGATGAGGTCTTGGAGCGATGGGGAAAGATCAGGGCGTGTGGGGGCAAAGCAGGGAGCATAGGATCCGAGGAGCAAGGTGAAGGGGACGTGAATGGGGAGGAGGAGGTGGAGGACGAGGCTGATGACGGGGTGGGGGAGGGCGAAGAGGACGTGGTAGAAGTTGAGGGGGCCCCCGAGATGGCAGAGGAGGCTGTAGTGAGGTTGGGAGTATCCGAAGGAGATGAGAACGAGGCGCCTCATATTAGCTCCACTCCCATTCGACTTCCCTCGACGCCACCCCGCGCCGGCAGTTGCGCTCCGGCACGCACGCCATTTTCTCCGCTGACCCCCACATCCGATGCATTCGTGTTCACGAGCCCTGCAAGCAATAATGATTCCATTACGGGGGCACGTACACGACGTCGTACCCGCAGCAACGCGCGCCCCTCCCGAGTTAGGCGGACGCTACCGCTTGGTCAGTGTTGGGGCGTGTAGTCGGTACGGTTCTGTTTTGGTTCA